AGGCATCTTTTTCGATTAAATATATGATTTAAATGTTTTCAAAGATAGAGAATTCATAAATAAACAGCTTTTCAGCTAAAAATAATGTAAAAAAGAAAGATTTTAATGAAATAATTTCAATCAAACAATTTCAATCAAACAATTTCAATTAAACAATTTCCTCACCCGCCCAATCCTCTCAACCCACACGCCCACACTTCTTATCAGATTTCCAAAAAGAAAGTGCTGATTGCTTTCGTTTGAAGAACAAAAAAAAAAAGCGATAAAATAACGGTGAGTAATTGATGAAAATTTGAGAATTTTTGTACAAAAATGAATTTTTTTAGTATGATTTTGCGTTAAACTTTGTCAAGCCTTATCACTTTTTTTTTTTTTTTTTTCGTTTTTCCCTTTTCATCTTTCCAATCATTTAGCAACCCTTTGTGACTTCCAGGATTGACAATTTTTTAAAAATTATCCTCAAAAACCTCTTGGATCCAAAGAAATTTGCGAACTTCGAATTTGAAATAGATTTTAAACGAACAATTTTAAATAGATTGTCAATCATTAAATAGCATTAGAAAATAACATTATACAAATTTCTAATAATCAAAAAGGCTTTTCTTTTAATGTTTTCCAAAAAAAGCAAAAAATTACTTTACTCCGAACCAAGCTCAAAGAGTTCCGAGCGCAGAAAGGCCAACCACTAGGCTACGAGCTGACTTTTGGGATAGCGAAAGGAAAGCCTTTTCGCCTTTTCGCCGGCAAAAATCATTGTGCCAGAAATTCGAGAAAACCCTTCATTTTTTCGAAATTCAAATGGCTGTAACTTTGTGCGTTTTGACGATTAGCCGTTTTTTGAAAACACTTTCTGAATTTACATTTTTAGGCCTTTCTTTTGGCGCCTATCACATATTGTAAATTGTGGGTAACTTGGGAAGGTTAGTTAGTTGGTTAGTTGGAAGGGTTAGTTAGTTGGTTAGTTGGTTAGTTAGAAGGGTTAGTTAGTTAGAAAGGTTATTTAGTTAGAAGGGTTAGTTAGTTGGAAGGTTAGTTAGTTGGTTAGTTAGAAGGGTTAGTTAGTTGGTTAGTTGGTTAGTTAGAAGGGTTGGTTAGTTGGTTAGTTGGTTAGTTAGAAGGGTTAGTTAGTTAGAAAGGTTATTTAGTTGAAAAGCACAATAGAATCCTTTTAATAGAATAGAAGGAAATTTTTGATTTATCGATAAACGTTGTTGGTGGTGGAGTCGTTGAAGAGGAGAGGTGACTGGACCTCTTCCTCTCCCTCTCCCCCTTCCCCTTCCTCTCCCCCTTCCCCTTCCTCTCCCCTCCTTCCCCCGTCACCCGTAAAATAACAAGAACACAAAGAAAAGGTGAAAACGTGATTGTGGAAAGGGAAAGAGAAAGCGAATAATTCCTTTACAAACAAATTTTTGTCGATTCCTTAGACTCAAGCCTTTTCCCGATTCCAGTACACTCTGGTACAATGTACAAGTCTTTTACAAAAGAAATCAACACCATTTCATTTTTGAAATTTGCTGTGCACTCCAGGAAAGAGAATTTACGAATTATTTGGCGCTGGGAATGATTCGCTTTCAATTTCGAGTGCTCGTCCTTTTTCGGGTATTACACCAAAAGAAGAATTGTTGTTATGTGAAAAATTTAATTCTTAAGAATTCATGTGACATCCAACTAAGAGAAAAATGTAAAAACTATCGGAAATCTATTGAGAAAAGTCGAGTTAACACGTTGAACTCAAAAATAGAAAAAACAACAACAACAACAACAACAACAACATTGCTCATTTCTTTCATTTTAGACTTGAATGCGTTCCAGCTTTAACAAAAAACATTAGCATTAGCAATGTTCTAAGAAAGATGAGCTTAAAGAATCGGGTAATGCCAAAAGGAGTGAGAAAAACCTTGGTTGTTTGCGAAAATTTTTGAAAAGAATTTCCTTTTTCGTTTACTCTCGGCTTTTCTTCGAGTTTCTTTGTGTTTACTTTAGAGAATTTTCATTCTATAACAAATAGAGAACCTTAAATATCATTTATATCGTTTTCTCTTTGCTCACTTTGTGCTTTTAAAGAAGTGGCTTTATAATTTCGCTTTGCATTTGGATTTTCTTTAGCTTCAGAGTTGGAACTTAAGGCCCTGCTGAAGTTTGAGATATAAGCTTAGCCAAAGCCAACTGCCAACCCGTCTAGAAGACGGCGTCAAGCGAAAACGAACGAGAAGCAGCGACGGCCTAGGGCCTAGGGCCTAGGAGCCTAGGAGGCCTAGGAGCCTAGGAGGCCTAGGAGGCCTAGGTGATGTCTAGGAGCCTAGGATGCCTAGGAGACCTAAGGGATGCCTAGGAGACCTAAGGGATGCCTAGGAGACCTAAGGGATGCCTAGGAGACCTAAGGAATCCCTAGGAGGCCTAGGAGTACGCTAAACTACAAAGTCTCTGACCCTTTTTGCCCGTCGGTTCATTTCCGCTCGTCGTCGTGGAAAATTTTGGCTAATTTGAACAATGAACAATGATTATTACAATTATTAGGGATTTTGTTGAATAGCTGCACTTTGTGAATTGATATTTGCCATTGAACAAGGTTTGACTGGAAAGGAGTCGAGGCTGATCATGAGCCTGGAGTCAAAAGACTAAGTTTATAATCTAAAGACTCGGCCAGGTTAAGCCTGACCCTGGCCTGGTTTACAGAATTTGCAACAACATTTCAAGTCTGATTCAAGTCTAATCAAGAACCTGATTCAAGTCTAATCAAGTCTAGTCTAGATCTTTTTCAAAAGATTTCAAGAGATCTTTTTCAAAAGCTCAGAAGCCAGATCAAGCCATAGAAGGCCGGCTTACAACAATTTGAAGTGCTTGGGCTTCAAGCTTTGAAGCTTTGGCTTGAAGCTTTGACTTTAGAGCTTTGGATTAAAGCTTGGGCTTAAAGCTTTGGCTTGAAGCTTTGATTTAAAGCTTTGGCTTAAAGCTTGGGCTTAAAGCTTTGAAGCTTGAAGGCCAGGGTCATCTAGATTAAGCTAGATTAGCTCGCTGAATATCCTTTGTCTAATTTGAGCATTTAAGAATCCCTTGTGCCAGAAAGGGTATGTTTCTCATTACTTTAAGCGCACAAAGTATAAAAGATCGAGTTCAAACTGAAAACGAAAAAGAAAAGAAAAGAAAAGAAAAGAATCGATTTTGGAGATGAAAACGTGGTGAAAACTGTACGAAATTTGCAATTCAAATGACGATTTGACAAAACGTTTCGGAAATTGGGGGAGGGAGAGTTTTTGAGAGCGACAGAGAGCAAGGGGATGGCAAGGGGATGGCAAGGGAAAGGGCAATAGAGGCAATCATCCCCTCCTCCTCTAAACCAGTACGCTATTCTCAAAAATTCTCAAATGTGCAAAAATCGAAAATCTAATTGCCTAGCATTCTCGTGTGACCTCCAGATAAGAAGAAAATCAGCTTTTAAATGTAAATTTCTCTTTTAAAAATTCACTAATCGTGACGCGAATTTTTTTCCGATCATCTCTTCAAGAATGAATGCTTTTTAAAAAATTTATTTTCTAAAATCCCTACTGTGTTCCAGATTGTATAAAAAGCTGTGAAAAAGGTTTAAATTTTGTTTCTTAACATGTTTAATATGGGGGTTACAAGAGAAATCGGGTTAAAAATGTAAAAATCGAGAGATTTTTGAGAAAACCTTTCTCGAGAGACAATCTTTTCCACGTGAAACATCTTGCTGTTGAAGGGAAAAGAGAAGAAAAAAGAAAATTATCACTTTTTCCCTATGCAATCTAGTGTAAAACTGTACGAAAAATTCCTTGAGACTGAATTTGAAATTTTTTTTTTTGTTTTTTTTGAGACTCAAAAATTGTTGACCTCAATCCTGTTGTCCTCAATCCTTTGTGCGCTCTTTGTACAAACGTAAACACATCATTTCTAGTGCACAACCTGACTAGAGAACTGTTTAAATTTATCACCGATTTTCGAAAACAGACCTAGCTACAAAAGGCTCCCGTAGAATTCTAAGAAACACTTTTTTGTTTCGCTGATAATCCCTGGTGTTCGAGATTTAAGCGTGAAAAGTTTTGGACAATTTGAACAATAAAAAATGATTACAACTTTAAAACACTTAAATATTCATAACTCATTTTTGTTTCAGAAAAAAAAAAGCAAAGTTTGGTCGACGAGCGGAATTGAACCCGCGGGCAAAAAGGATCAGAGACTCTGTAGCCTAGCGAACTATCCCCTAAGCTGTCGATGCTCTTTGTCCTTGGCCACTTGGCGTCGTCTTATATGCGAGTTGACAGGCCCTACTGATGCTGATGTTCAAGATATATTTCTTATGGCCAAACTGCCAACTCGTCTATAAGACGGCGTCAAGCAAAAGCCCACGAGAAGCAGCGAAGGCCTAGTGGAGAGTACGCTTGACTAGAAAGTCTTTGGCCCTTTTTGCCCGCGGGTTCAATTCCGCTCATCGACCAAACGTTGCTTTTTTTCTGGAACAAAAATGAATGTTTAAGTGTTTTAAAGCTTTCGAAAATCGGTGCTAAGTTTAATTGAGACAATCGCCTAGAAGACGCTCGACGCCGTCTTCTAGACGGGTTGGCAGTTGGCTTTGGCTAAGCTTATATCTCTAAGCTCCCTAGTCTCTATAGAAAGCCTATAGAAAAATCTATAGAAATCTTTTTCTATAGAAGAATCCAAGAATAGGTTTTGTAGAAGAGTAGGACGAAAGGAGTACGGTAGAGTTTTGCTACTGTAAAAGGATCGCCGCAGGTTACGATAGTCTTTTTTGTTTATTCTGGAAGTCATCCTTTGGAAAGCAAAATGTTGCAAATCGTTTCCTCTCTTTTGAATTTCACCCAACTTCCTCCCGTACAGGGTATCCATGCGTACTCTCGGCCTCAAATTTCCTCACCTAACGTCGTTTTCGAGCCTTTTTCAAATCAATTTTCAAATGTTTTTACATTTTCTAGTTTCCTTTAAGTTCTAAATCTATTTATCTATTTTATTTACAAATTTCAGCGATGAGCAGTCAATACTTGAACGAGCCGATCACGACCGGAAAGGTCAGTACCAATTTCACGAACATACAAATGCTAATGACTCGGAAATAATGTCAAAATCTTATGTGCATACCAGTTTGGCACTAGCAACAATGATCAACGAAAGCTAGACGGCGACAACCTTAGTTCAAGCGCGGTGAACGAGTTCACGCGAAAAACTCGGCGCCTGATCAAGGAAATAAGATCAAAATTGTCGAAAACTTCTAGCTGGGATGCACAAAAGGTTTTCCTTTCGATTTGACACTATCTCGAATTACAGGTGATTCTCCAAACGTCAGCCGGCGAGATCGAGTGCGAGTTGTGGTGTAAAGAGGCGCCGATGACTTGTCGAAATTTCATTCAATTATGCATGGAAGGTTTGTTGTCAATTCGTAGCTAAAAAGTCGATAAATAGTTTTCAAACAATGCTAGTATGTCTTGAAGTTGAATGAAGTGGCTAATTGTAAGCCTATAGCAGTTGATAGACTTTTCGAAACAGTGCTAGTTGTTTAAAAGTTGAATCAAGGGGCTAAATCTTGAATTGTAAGCCTATAGCAGTTGATAGACGTTTCCAAACAATGTCAGTTGTTTAAAAGTTGAATGAAGAGGCTAAATCTTGAATTATAAGCCTATAGCAGTTGATAGACGTTTCCAAACAATGTCAGTTGTTCAAAAGTTGAATGAAGAGGCTAAATCTTGAATTATAAGCCTATAGCAGTTGATAGACGTTTCCAAACAATGTCAGTTGTTCAAAAGTTGAATGAAGAGGCTAAATCTTGAATTATAAGCCTATAGCAGTTGATAGACGTTTCCAAACAATGTCAGTTGTTCAAAAGTTGAATGAAGAGGCTAAATCTTGAATTATAAGCCTATAGCAGTTGATAAACGCTTCCAAACAGTGCCAATTTGTCTTGAAGTTGGCCTGTAGGAGTCAATAAACTTTTCGAAACAATACCAATTTCAGGCTACTACAACGGAGCACCATTTCATCGTCTTGTCAAAGATTTCATCATACAGGTAAGCATCTAGGTTCTTAAGGAATTCTATGTCTTTAGGAGTTCTAGGTATTGCACAATGTTTTGCACATCTCTGAAGAGTACTATTTGCATTCTATTTGCATTCTTTTCTCCACGATATTTTGTTTTTGATATTTTGTTTAGGGAGGCGATCCAACAGGCACCGGTCAAGGCGGTGAGAGTATTTATGGGAAACCATTTAAAGTAAGTGAACTTTCTTGGGAAAAACGATGAAAATGATTGATTTAAAGGATGAATTTCATCAACGTTTGACGTATAACCGACGCGGTTTACTCGGAATGGCGAATTCGGGTTTGTTTTTTTTTCCGATAGTCAAAGAGAAATCGTTTAAAAGCACAGGCAGAGACGCAAACGGATCACAATTTTTCATCACTCTCGGCAGTGAGCCACAACAAGTTCGCGAGTTGACAAGGAAACATACATTGTTTGGAAAGGTAGCCTTTAGATTACTAGTTAGCTGGGTTTAAGGGCTGTAGCTTAGCTGGGTTTAAGGGCTGTAGCTTAGCTGGGTTCAGGGCCTGTAGCTTAGCTAGGTTCAGAGCCTTTAGCTTAGCTGGTTCACTAACTGCTCGAGTTTTACTAAATTCAACTTTTATTTTATAAAATTCAACGAATCAATCAATGAATTTAGCAAAATTTTTCTAAAAACAATGTTTTCTTTTTTGCTGACTCAATTTATTAGTTTTATTTGATAAAATCAAAATATTCATTTTAGTATTTAGCATTTAGCATTTACTAAAGTTACTAAATTATAAATCTTTTTAAACAACTGGTTAAATGCTAGATGATAAATAGTTTGCTCAACCAGAAACCCTAGTGCTCGAACCCTAGTGCTCGAACCCTAGTGCTTGAACCCTAGTGCTCGAACCCTAGTGCTCGAACCCTAGTGCTCGAACCCTAGTGCTCGAACCCTAGTGCTCGAACCCTAGTGCTCGAACCCTAGTGCTCGAACCCTAGTGCTCGAACCCTAGTGCTCGAACCCTAGTGCTCGAACCCTAGTGCTCGAACCCTAGTGCTCGAACCCTAGTGCTCGAACCCTAGTGCTTGAACCCTAGTGCTTGAACCCTAGTGCTCCAGGATGCCGCTCGAAAAACCCGTACCCGTTTGAATTTCTATAGATAATTCTATAGAAATACAGTACAACTCTTTCAAACTTGAACATTCCAGATCGTCGGCCCGACAATGTTCAACATGTTGAAGATGACCGAAGTGGATGTGGATGCGAATGAGAGGCCAAAAACCCTTTACAAGATCACCGGAGCCACCGTGTTGACGAATCCGTTTAAGGATATTCGACCAAGGTATTATTAGCTTGGCAAATATGAAAGGTTATTTTTTACAAAAAATATTGCCCTGTCGTTACGAAGAACATTCGCTGTCTAGGATTTTTCTCAATAATATGTCAAAATGTGCTCATGTTTTTTTTGCAAAAACCTTTTTGTTTTGAACAATATTTGTATTGTTTCAGCTCGGCAAAGATGGATAACCAAAAATTTAAAATCAGGGCCGCCATTTTCTTTGAATTCAAGTTAAACAAGAAAGCTACGGAATGCCATCAGAACATTTGTACTGTTTTTGGAGAAGCTGCTCTTACTTGCAAACAATGTTGTGTTTGGTACGATCGCTTCAAAACGGGAAACGAGTCATTGAAAGATGCACCACATGGAAAGCCGCCGATTACTTTGGACGATCAGCTGTTACTGAACGAGGTCGACTTAGATCCATCGCAAACGTGTAGAAAATTAGCAGAAAAGTTCAGATGCACTCATGTTACCATTTACACGTTCTTGGGAAATCATATCGAAACGGGAAATGGCCCCCCCACGACCTGACTGATGCCCACAAAGTCACACGAGTCACCTTGAGCTCTGTTCTTCGACGTAAAGCTAGCCATCGTGACTTTTGGAAGTATTTTTTGACATCTGATGAGACTTGGCTTTCGTATGAAAGTATTCAACTCTATGGACAGTGGCTGAGTTCGAAGCAGATCTCTCATCCTATCCCGAAGCCTCCGAAAAAGTTATGCTTTGTGTGTGGTGGAATGCTAAGGGATTGGCTCATTTTGAAATATTAGATAAAGGAGACACTGTTGACGGAAGACTCTATGCAGAACAAATGGGTCGAGTCGATCCAGCATTGAGGAAAAAGAGGATCGATCCATCGAAGGTCAGATTTCTTCACGACAATGCTAGGCCTCACATTTCAAAGATCGTCCACGAACAAATCGATAAGCTGAGCTGGAAACTTCTTTCACACCCACCATACAGCCCTGATCTAGCCCCATCGGATTACCATCTCTTTCGGTCAATGAAACAAGTAGTTTCTGGACAGCAGTTCAAACAAAAGCAGGACATCGAAAATTGGGTTGCCAACTATTTTGCCTCTAAAAATCTTCAATTTTACGAGGACGGTATTCGTGATTTGGGGTAACGTTGGGAAGAAGTTATTAATGCTTCTGGTGAATAGATTTGATTTTGAAAGTGTTTTAATAAATTTTTCTGTTATGTTAAAAATGATCAAAAAAATAACCTTTCATATTTGCCAAGCTAATAGTTGGGTTTTGGTTCCTCAAGTTTAGACGCTAGGCTAAGCCTTGGGCTGAGCCTTAGCTTGTCCCTTAGCACTTCTAGAGGACGGTAGTGTAGCTTGTCTTACAGTATTCCATGCATTTCGTAGTCCAGATCAGACTGGAATTTCTCTCCAAGAAAACTAGGCTCACAGATTGTAGATGGTTACTGTAGCTTGTCCTACAGTATCCCGAGCGCTCTTGGAGTACGGTAATGTCGCTTGTCTTACAGTATTCTATGCACTTCTAGAGTACAGTCTTGTAGCTTGTCTTACGGTATTCTAAGCACTTCAGAGTAAGGGCTTGTAGCTTGTCTTACAGTATTCTAGAGTACAGTCTTGTAGCTGTCGTTTACAGTACTCCTAGGGTCATGTACTTTGTACACTTTGTACCCAAAGACCACTTGAGTACTGTATTCTATAGATTATTCTAGAGTACAGTCTTGTAGCTTGTCGTTTACAGTACTGTATTCTATAGATAAAGTACTCTGAAAGCTCCAAAACACTACAGTATCCTAGCAATCGTTTTTTTACTAGAGTACAAAGTACTAGCCGCACTTGGAGTACTGTAATTTTTTTTTTAATTCAGAGAAAAAGAACGTCGTGAGAAGAAAAAAGAGACGAAAGTGGTGGAAACGAAAAAATTAAATCTTTTATCGTTTGGCGATGAAGCAGAAGAGGATGAGGAGGAGCTCACACACATTAACAAGGTTTGGGAAACGTTTTCAATGTCACTAAGTGTTCACCTTTCATTGAATAGTCATTGTTTTCATTGTACAAATCGATTTCAAACGCAGCACGGAAGTCGATTTGCCGATTTGCCGAAAAGTCGATTTTGCAATTTCTAACAAAGCTCAATTGGCTTTCTAGAAATTGCTTTAGTGGCTTCCGGATCGAAGAATGATTGGTTTTCTTGTTTCAGAAACTCTCGGGTAAAGGGAAAAGTGCGCACGATGTACTCGACGATGAACGCTTGAGTAAACAGGTGGCCGTGACACGAGATGAAATGGCTGACTATGAGCCGGTAAGTGAGTCGAATAGAGTCGAATAGAGTTGAATAGACTCGAAAAGAGTCAAATAGAGTTGAATAGAGTTCGAATAGAGTTCGACAAGCTCGAGAATTTGAATATCTTTCTTTAGGAAGACGACGAGCAGCATCCAACATCAATGAGTCGAATTCGAGAAAAGCTGGGAAAGAAGCGGAAGTATAACGACGAGAAAAAGGTTTAATAAAACAAAAAAAAAGAAGAATAATTCTTAAAAGGATTTAAAAGGATTTAAAAGTATTTAAAAGCATTTAAAAGCATTTAAAAGCATTTAAAAGCATTTAAAAGCATTTCAAATCATTTCAAATCATTTCAAATCATTTCAAATCATTTCAAATCATTTCAAATCATTTCAAATCATTTCAAATCATTTCAAACATGGTAAAGCTTTGAGATCTAACGGCTTCTATTATTTACAAATTGATTTCAAGAAATTACTTCTTAAAAACAGAAATGGATTCAGCTTTTCCCTTAAAATTAGATCTCAAATCTGTAACAAATTGAAAGTAATCTTTAAATGTAATAATTCTTTAAATGACTTTTAAAACTTTAGCCTGATGAAGATGAGGATTTGGATTCGATTATTGAGCAAGAGAGAAAGGAAAAAGAACAGGAAAGGATGTAAGTTGAAACAATTTTCAACCTTTCTTAATAGTAGCGTCCCAAGGGGCTTATCAGCGGGCCCAGGGGCTTATCAGCGGGCCCAGGGGCTTATCAGCGGGCCCAGGGGCTTATCAGCGGGCCCAGGGGCTTATCAGCGGGCCCAGGGGCTTATCAGCGGGCCCAGGGGCTTATCAGCGGGCCCAGGGGCTTATCAGCGGGCCCAGGGGCTTATCAGGGGGCCCAGGAGACTATCAGCGGCCCCGTTTCTCGTAAATGTTTGAGAAATATTTGTGTCAATGGTTTAAACGTTTAAACACGTTTGTTTAAACGTAACAAACGTTTAAACGCCTAAATGTTATGGGATAAACGTGTGAAAAACTTTAGAAGTAGTAGGCTGTGAATAATCTTGAGCTGCCGTTAATCTTCTTGAATAAATCGGGCCGCCGCTATTAAGGAAGATGCTGAATTTTCTTTTGTAGAAAGCAATTACAGAAAGGAAATGGCTGGCGAGTTAAAATCTCTTCAAAAAGAGTATATAAAAGCACTTCGAGGACCAAAAGAAAAGAAGACTGAGGAGAGTGGTGAGTGGAAAGAAAGAAAAGACTGAATTTAGACTGAATTTAGACTGAATTCAAGTCTAGATCTAGACTTCTAGGCGAAACAAGTCTAGATCTAGTCTCCTAGGTCAAACAAGTCTAGATCTAGCTCCTAGGCCAAGCAAGTCTAGATCTAGTCTCCTAGGTCAAACAAGTCTAGATCTAGCTCCTAGGCCAAGCAAGTCTAGATCTAGTCTCCTAGGTCAAACAAGTCTAGATCTAGTCTCCTAGGTCAAACAAGTCTAGATCTAGTCTCCTAGGCAAGCCTAGGTCCAAGGTTAAGCAGATCAATCGAAGAACAATTCATAACCACAATCATTTCTAAATCAATTTCTAAATATTTCTAAATATTTCTAAATCAATTTCTCAGTTTTTCTATCAAATTCCTTTCAGTTTACAATCTTTATTTTACTTTTAACAAAGATAATTTCTAATTTGTTTTCTAATAAGTAAATTGACTATTTACAGCTATTCGAATCATTACAATGATCTGGATTTACAGAGGAACCCGTCTCTGAGGTGCTGGCTGAATATAAAGCGATGAGAATCAAATTCAAATCAAAGACGAAAAAATTGAAGAGTAAAAGGGACGAGGGACGAGAGAATCAGGTTTAGAAAATTCGCTTTCATTAGCTTAGCTTAGCTTGGCTTGGCTTGGCTTGGCTTGGCTTAGCTAGGCTTGGCTTGGCTTAGCTAGGCTTGGCTTGGCTTAGCTTGGCCTCACTGATTAACTGGCTCATCTCAGCTCACTGATTACGTTCACGATTGCTTTGCTACCATCATCAAACGATTGATTATCATGTTTTCTATACGACAAAAAGCACTCTTTAAAAAGCGATACTATTATTTTAGTTTACTGTAGATTTTAGCAAAGATTAGCTCTTGGAATAGCTCTTAGAATAGCTCATACAATAGCTCTTGAATAGATCAAGGAAAGACTCTATTCGATTTCAAAGCAAATTTCCTTATCTAGTGATAAACGGGTTTAAGGTAGTTGAGAATTTGATGAAATCCTTTTTGAAGAAAGTAAGAAAACCATTGAATTCAGACACAATGGCTACATCTGATTTCAGATCAAATTTCCTTATCTAGAAACAATCATAGTTGAAGGCAGGGGGGTTTTAAGCCAGGTTAAACAAGGAGTTAAGAGAATAAGAGAAGTCAATGGAGACTTGATCTTTGAAGGCTTGATCTTTGAAGGCTTGATCTCTAAAGCCTTGATCTTTGAAGGCTTGATCTCTGAAGGCTTTCTCTCTGAAGCTTTGATCTCTAAGGCCTTGATCTCTAAGGCCTTGATCTCTAAGACCTTGATTCCTAAGGCCTTCAAGAATTAATCAAAATGAAAGAGCGAAATCCAAAATCAAATCCTTTCCAGACAATGCAACTTCTTGAGCGTTTCCGCGCGAAATTAGATCAAGCCGAGCAAACGGATATCCTTTTCGACAAATCGGTAAGGACTTTTAGACTGTAAAGGCTACTGTGGCTGAGGTACGGGATTTAATGTTCAATGGTATCAATGTCTCAAGTTCGATTACTTTTTAAGGTGGATACAAGTTTACCCGAACGAGTCGATCTTTCCGGCGAAAAGGAGGAAGAAGAGAGGAAGAAGAGAGGCGAAGAAATGAGAATTCGACGGAATGCAGATGGAGTGGATGGGGTGGATGCAGAGGATGGAGATGAAGACAAGGAAAAGGAATTCGGATATGATTTAGACGCTGAGGATATTGTGGGAACTGATTGGTGAGTGCCTTTAAGCCTTTTAAACCTTTTAAAATGATAGAGTACCATTCACATAGTACATTCACATAGTACACTCGCATAGTACATTCGTATAGTACATTAGCATAGTACATTAGCATAGTACACTCGTATAGTACACTCGTATAGTACATTCGCAAGTACCATTCGATAGAGTTTTTTTTTTTTCCAAGCGTTGATCTCGAATAGCTGAGTCAAAAGTGTTTAGGCGGAATTTGAATTCACCTAGAAATTGGTGGCTTTAAAGTTAAGTGGAAAAAAGATGGAAAAAAAGACGCAAAAAACGCCGCCACTCAGCAATAGCCACTGTGCTATTCGGATTGCCTAAAAGAAATCGATTTCCACAAGTTCTCCGGCACATTCGAAAAGCTTAGGCTTTTCTTAGCTCAGCCAATGATTTAAGCTTAGGCGAAATAACGATTTCTGGAGCTCAGCCAACGATTTAGCCTTGTTGTCGGAAGAATTTAGAACCAGAAAGACAGACTTGTACATCAGTTTGTACCCAGCTTCATCAGAGATACTTTTGTAAGCGAAAGTAAAGCAAAACCAGAATCTAACACCATTTAGAAAACGTTCTAGCTTCAGCAATGCATTTCCAGGATGAAGCACGCGTTCGTCGCCGAGGACGAGCTCGATCCGAATGTCACCCGGGCAAAGGTACGTCAAAGTATCGCTTTTGAGGGGTATGCCTGTTTGAAGTCTATAGTTTTGTTCATTGAATGACTTTTGTAAGATGGAAACGCGGGGTACAGCTGACCCGGAGATCAGTGGATGCTCTGGCCATAAACCGAGTCAAGATCCTAGCCAGGTTTAGGGTTTAGCAGTGAAGCCAAGTCAAGGAATTGCCACCAGGATCCAGGCCAGGCTTCTGGCTCTAGGCCTGTCTCCTTAAACCTAAATCTAAGCCTAGCCTTAAACCTAAGCCTAAGCCTAATCCTAAACTTCTAGACATGGTAGCGATCTGAAATTTTCCAAGCATACTCCCCTTGGGTTCCAAAACACAAGGGCAATTGCTTGCAACTTCGCTCCAAGAACTGGCTGAGATCCCGAAAATGGGGGTTCAACCCAAACCCAAATAGACTTAGTGCGAGGCGCTAGCCGCTAGCATAGGCGAAGTCCAATCCTAAACCTAAGCCCAACAAGTCTAAGCTTAAACCTAAGCCTAATAATCCTAAGCCTAAGCCTAACTCTAAACCTAAGCCTAAACTTAAGCCTAAGCCTAAGCCTAAGCCTAAGCTTAACCGGGTTCTAGCCTTGTCCATCACTTCTCTACTCTTTTCAAACTCTTTCCAGGACGCGAATCTTCGTGATGAGGCGAAAAGTGATTGGTATGATTTGTCGGATCCACGACATCCAATCAATAAACGGAAAAGGGGCGAGATTTGAGGCGTTTTCTCGGAAAAGAATCTCATATCTATCCCCTAAATGATAAACTCATCTTTATACCGTGTTTTTTTGTTATAAAACTGTCATGTGCTATCCAGATTGCTCGATATTCAAATAAAATCCTGTAACTGTTAGCCGGTGTGCCATCCAAATTGGCTGAAAATCGACTTGCACCCAAATTCCCGATCAATTCGAAAAGTTTAAGCTTTAGAAAAGCGAAATTGCTTCTTCCTGGAGCTCATCCGATCATTTAGCGGGATCTTTAAGCCAATTTACTTTAAATGAAAGAAATCGAGGTATTCAGTGATTATGGTAGCTTTGTCAAGCAAGCTTTGTGAAGGCTTTATCAAGCCTTGTCAAGCCTTGTCAAGCCTTGTCAAGCCTTGTCAAGCCTTGTCAAGCTTCGTCAAGGCCTTGTCAAGCCTTGTCAAGCCTTATCAAAACTTTATTTTATTTGAAACCTTTATTTCCTTTAATCCCAACAAATAAAAAAAAAATAAGGAAAATGAAAAAATAACGACAAATTGCTATGCACAGATATTTGAATTCAATGGGAAATTTTTAAAATTTTTAATTACAAAAACTTTTACTCCAATTCACTTTATGCTTTCATTTAAACATTTCCGTCTAGTGAACAGAAATTTCGGTGCACTAGAAAGGGTACATTTACATGAAAAACATAAAATAAATCCTTATAAATTTCATTACTTTAAAACTAAAGGGTTCTAATTGAAAACAATGGGTTTTTCGCTTTTTCTTAATCTTTTTCTTTTTTCCCTTTCTTTGCCTCTCGTTTGAAGTGACCGCTTAGGCCGAGGAGTTTTTCCGGAAATCTTCTCTATATATTATATTATATATTCTATATATTATTACAGTTATGAATGCGCGTTTTTTAATATTTTGTAAATTCCTCAAGATACCGAAATCAAGCAAAAGACATATATGAGTATTATTCGAAAGCTGAAGATCTCCTCTACAATTTCGATATAAAAAGTTTTTGAAGTTTGTTCAGCTTTTGAGCAAATTGACTGCACAGAAGAAGAGGTGGCCAAAAAATGGAAGGGTTCCTTTGGCACCCTTCCATTTGTCGAAATCGAACTTACTAGGGAACTCGGTGGTTAGTTGAAACAATTAACGACCGATTTTCGAAACCGGATCTAGCTGCAAAAGGTCCCCGTAGAATTCTAAGAAACATGCTTTTTTTCCCCATGGACCTTGGCTTTCGAGAAAAACATGTTCAAAGTTTCGGTAATTTTTGGCGAGGGGGACTCTCTGCGAATAAGTTCGTGTCAAATAGAAGTCTCAAATCAACTGAACAACTAGTACTCCTTTCTCTTTTCTACTGCAGTCCATTTCCTCACTTGCATGCTACAATTTGGCATCTTTAGCCAGATAAGGCTTTAAAGTCACTAATTTCAAGTTGTTTCACAACAAACTTCACCGTAATCATTTCGAGTTCAAAATCACTAGCTAAATCCAACTCAAAAAGTCTACAAAAGCTTTATTCGTGAAAAGTTAACTCGAGGATTCGCATGTATATCTGTAAATGTGAGTCCAAAATTTAAACGACCAACTGAAAAGAACAACATTAAGTACTCTTAACATCAAAACAAAGAAAATGGAAACGAGAACAAAACGATCAGAGAATAGTTAGTTCCGTTCGATCACTCGGCGTCTTGCTTTCACCATTGCAATCTAAAGAAAACCGATAAAATTATTGGAGGAACAGGCTTTTGGAAATGCACAACGTTTCTTTACATTAAAAGTTAACCCAGTTACTCTAGCCCCGGTCGATCAAAGTTTCAGCTGATCACGGTTAAATAGCAAAAAAAGGGTTCAATTTCTCACTAGAGCGCCTAAATTTCGGAGCAAGCTGGAGCGCACAGCACGACAAGCCATGAAAAATACCTACCTCTTGGCGTAATTCTTCCGCTTTTAACAGCCGCTCGCCGAGCTCCGTGTACCTCTAAAAATAAGAGATAAGCCGTAAAACAAGCTTTGTGGTAAACAACATAGAATTCAAATAATCATAAATCTCACCATCTTCTCCAGCCTTTCCTTTTTAGCCAAAGTCGCATTTAGACGCGTGCAAGCTTCTCGAATAGCTTGTGCTTCTTCGTCGGTGATTCTATCCTCTAAACAGACAGAAATTGACCAAAATCTCATAAAAGAAAAGCTACTATCGTTACTATTTCAAATATCCAAGACCAACCATCGTTTCCGGATCGTTGACCAACCCAGACCTGCTCCTAAAATAGAAAAGTGTTGAATTATGGAAGTGGCAATTTACATGATCCTGGTAACGGTCAGGTCTAGTGAAATCTGACTCTGAGATCTGAACCAAAGCTCCAAAATAACACTATTTTCCACCTTCAACGACTTTTTACAGTCAGTTTACAACTGGCAGAGTTACATAGAGTTCCAAATTTACTTTCTGCTTTCTTTTGTTACAAGTTGACCTTTCAAAAAACCCACCAACGACTCAAAAATCAAATTTTCGGGTCCTAGATATTTGTTGAAGAATTGATGCAACTCGACATGCATATCCGGGAAACACTCGATCGACGTGCGCTCCGCGTTGTCCAGGTCCGAGAGACGCCTAAAAAGAAGCGATTAGCACATTTTACAATGATAACATTGTCTTCTTTTTAATCAAAGGCTTTAATTATTAGCTTTGCAATTTGTGTGACAACTTGAAAAAATGTTTGCTCAAACTTTTAACAGCAACCAATTTCTATCCAAAGTTTGCTTAACAAGTGAATTTCAACATCTTGAATTTCCACTCAAGATTTTGCTGTAGCACTTGTTTAAGCTGTTTTTAAACAATCCTCACAGCATGTATGTCATCCTCGCTTGTGGCTGATGAGTGTTGATGTGTTGATTCATGTCCAATTCCGACTCGCTCGTCAAATCGCACGCCTCACAGCCGAATTTGCAAACACTAAATGAAAAGGATTGAGCATCAAAAAATTGAACATGAAACTTGATCTTTTAGCTATAAATTGAATCAAATTTTGCAGCTGCAGCTCAACTTTTAGCACAAGATCGATCAAATATCTTATTTAAGCGACTATTAAGCCCAAAATTTGGTTAGCTAACAAAAAACAAATGATCAGCTTGGTTCTGACCCAGCTTTGAGCAAGTTTTGACTCCTTTAGCTCAAGCTTGGTCGAATATCTTTATGTAAATCTCATACTGCCTTCAAGTCAAGCAGATTAAAAACACCAAAAAACTCACGTCATGTGCGTGAAAACGTGTTTTCCCGCCTCGAGCGATGATAACAGTGGTTGCGCGCACTTCTGAAGAGGGAAATGATATAAAATATGACAAAGAATCCCTTCAAACACATTTAGAGCACAACTTTAACACTTCTCTCTGGAAGTTTCGCATTTTCTGGGAAAAAAGAACATGCTGAATTGCGTGTGAAAGTTTTTAAAGTAATTCCGAGCAATTTAAAACTCGAAAACTCGAGCCAAAACAAGATAAAAGTAATCAAAAACGTCAATTCTATCAATTCAGCACATCGATCACCCAAAAATTTGGCATAAACATTCGACTTTGAAGCGTTTTACGGAGAAATGACAAAATTTTCAACGAATTGCTTGTTTTGAGCAAAATTAAGCGAATCTAACATGCTGAATTGAGTGAACCATAAAATCATGCTCTAACTGCTAGCGAAGTGCAAATTCTAAACACCCACCATGCATTTATGCAATTCAAATGGTGCGTCCATTTCTAGCCGCTCTTAATCAAATCCGTTGTAGACCCTGAAAAGAATAGAATTCGCATGAAATCTTGTAAAAATAAGAAACTTGAGAGAGAAACGCAAAAAGAGACACGCTTTGGGGAGAAATTGGGCAAAATTTTTGACTGCCTAGGTAGAAATGATGCTCTAAACAGGTCAGAATCGATAAAATTTCATAAATTTACACATGTGCGGAAGGTTTTCGGCAAGATAATCACACATTTTTATACAAAAACTTTGAAAAGCGACTTTTTCTAACAAATTTTGATGTTTTTGAGGGAAATTCTGCTCAAAACATGCCAAATTCTACAAAATTTGCTAAATTTGCACATTTGCCGAAGGTTTCTAGCAACAAACCCTTATAGAAAAACTTGGAAAAGAAACTTTTCTAACAAATTTTGACGTTTGGGCGAAAAACATACCAAATTCGATAAAATTGCACTCGCACTGAGCACTTTCAACAAGATAAGCACTAAATTTTAAGCAAATTCTTCTAAAATGAAGGGGTAGGCTACTTTCCGCCATTTTATTTGCGCAACAGGGTCATTTGCGCAAGTACGTTTGCGCAACTTTTTATTTGCGCAACAGGGTCATTTGCGCAACTTTTTTTGCGCAACAGGGTCATTTGCGCAACTTTTTTGACGTTTTTAAGGGACGTTTTTTTTAAGGGAGTTTTTGGCGTTTTTTTTTGTTGTTTAAAATTCTAGTACGGTTTTGTTTATTCTTAAAAACCATTGTTAACTAATTTTCCGCATTTTCCCAAGAATCCGCATCCATCGTATACTGCGGTCAGACTTTACGAAGAAATGACGCAAATAATCAACCGTTTCAAGCTTTCATCGGCTATCAATCTCACTGTTGGACAAAACTACACACGGAAGAAAACTGTATTGGCTCGACAAAAGCAACGTTTTACTGCTATTTCTAATGGTCGCTTGCCCGGTTGCGATTTTGTGCAACATCTTTCTCAGCTTTTGACTTATATTAAAAAAATTTGATTTTTATTGTTGTCCTAAATTTCATTGCTATTGTTGTCCTAACTTTCATTGTTATCGGTTGCACTTTTTTGTTAAAGCGATAAAATATTTTACTAATGGTTATTAGCTCTTAGAAAGGACTAATTTAGATAAATATTGGAAGATTATGCAAAAAAAATTGGAAGATTTCATAAAAATAGAAGAAAATAAAAAACAATAAAAAAAAAAGCTCAAAAATGAAAATAATGATTAAAAATTCGAGTGCTTAATACAGTGTTAAAGTTGCGCAAATGACCCAGTTGCGCAAATAAAGTTGCGCAAATGACCCTTTTTGTGCAAAAAAAAGTTGCGCAAATGACCCTGTTGCGCAAATAAAATGGCGGAAAGTAGCCTACCCCAAAATGAAAAAATGAAAAATGAAAATCCGCCAATTTTCTGTTATTTATACTTTCATTGTGAAAGATTTGCCTTTTCTGTAATATTTTTCTAATTGACTGAATATCTTTCAGACAAGCGGCTAATTTTCATCCCAGGCCATTGATGCCAGACTTTCGGAAGACTTTTTCTTCAAACTTTCAACATTTTTTGTGATTTTGAGCGGGCAATTTTATCGAATTTTATCGGATTTGGTATGTTTTTCGCCCGAAACGTCAAAATTTGTTAGAAAAGTTTCTTTTCCAAGTTTTTCTATAAGGGTTTCTTGCTAGAAACCTTCAGCAAATGTGCAAATTTACCAAATTTTATAGAATTTGACAGGTTTTGAGCAGAATTCCCCTCAAAAACATCAAAATTTCTTGGAAAAAGTTGCTTTTCGAAGTTTTTCTATAAAAATGTGTGATTATCTTGCCGAAAACCTTCCGCACATGTGCAAATTTATGAAATTTTATCGATTCTGACCTGTTTAGAGCATCATTTCTACCTAGGCAGTCAAAAATTTTGCCCAATTTCTCCCCAAAGCGTGTCTCTTTTTGCGTTTTTCTCTCAAGTTTCTTATTTTTACAAGATTTGTTTACCAAACAGTTTTTGATTTTTGTTTTTATTTTCTTTTTATATAACAAAAAATGATTTTTTTTTAGATGCCTGGACGATATTTATCAACTCGGGACAAAGAAAAATTTTGTGGAAGCGCGAGAAAAAGGAATTCAGAGGAAAGATGTATACACGGAACTCGGCGAGAAGCAGGTACGAGTGGAAGAATTGCGCAGATTGGTGGGTTTTAATTTATTTTTGATGCCTTGTCGAGCTGTGGGCTCCAGATTGCACGATTTCCGAATTTTGAGCGCCCTAGTGAGATTTGAACTCTTTTTTTGCTATGTAACCGTGGTCAGCTGAAACTATGATAACTGGGTCAACTTTTAATGCAAAGAAACGTGGTGCGTTTCAGATGCTTGCTAGTTACTTTCCTTTTTCAAAACTTGCTTTATTTTATTTTTAGATGTACACGGAGCTCGGCGAGCGGCTGTTCAAAGCGGCAGAATTACGCCAAGAGGTAGGTATTTTTCATGGCTTGTCGTGCTGTGCGCTCCAGCTTGCTCCGAAATTGGGGCGCTCTAGTGAGAAATTGAACCCTTTTTTTGGTATTTAACCGTGATCGGCTGAAACTTTGATCGACCGGGGCTAGAGTAACTGGGTTAACTTTTAATGTAAAGAAACGTTGTGCATTTCCAAAAGCCTGTTTCTCCAATACTTTTATCGGTTTTCTTTAGATTGCAATGGAGAAAGCAAAGCGCATAATGACCAAACGGAACTAACTATTCTCTGATCGTTTTGTTCTCGTTTCTATTTTATTTGTTTTGATGTTGAGAGTACTTAATGTTGTTCTTTTCAGTTGGTCGTTTAAATTTTGGACTCACATTTACAGATATACATGCGAATTCTCGAGTTAATTTTTGACGAATAAAGCTTTTGTAGACTTTTTGAGTTGGATTTAGCTAATGATTTTGAACTCGAAATGATTGCGGTGAAATTTATTTTGAAACAACTTGAAATTAGTGAGGACATTACTTTTGTGGAGCTATTTGTTAAGTAACTGATTGTTTTTGTTTTATACTTTAATTTTTCTGCAATGTATACGGATAAATCTTATAATCCTGAAAAGTAGAGTATTATGGGTAAGCAAAATACCCTACACTTTTTGGGAATATCGTTTTTTTGCAAGATTTTCGTACGAAAGAAACTTTTGGATGGCAATGGGACAATACATTTTTGGACCACTGTATTGTAGTTGTGTTATTTAAGGTAAAAATTATGAAAACCAAAATTCAGTGACGCTTGGGGAGTCGAAACCGGATCGTTTGGGCCGTAGACAAGCGCGCTCTCGACTGCGCCACGACGAAAAACCGTCCCACAAAACAGCTAGCGAGAAAAACCCGCCGTTAAGCTGATTTGAAATGAAATTTCAGCTCTGTGTTGTCCATCAAATCATCAAGTCTATCATGCCGGTCACTATTATGCCTTTTATCTTACCGGGGCTCATTTTTATCTGAGTTCACTCTTTGAAAACGCAATAATGTTATTTCTAGTAAAAGTTGCCGAAGAAATTGATTAATGTACGTTGTTTAAGAAACAAATTCATTTCCTAGGAAGACGGCCTCTCGTGGAACGATGGTACACCGGCAGACTATCAAGCTCGTTCGTGCAATCGGTGAAGTTGGAGGAATTCGGCGGCACTCGGTGATAAAGAACAGACAAAAAAATCTGTTGTTATCAAAAAAAAATTTGAAATATTATTGGGTTGTCGAGTTATGAATGCGCGCTTTTTGTACTATTTTGTATATTTCTCAAGATATCGAAGAGATGTATATGAGTGTTATATATCATTCGAAAGCTGAAGATCTCCTCTACATTTTGGAATAAAATACTTTTTGAATTCATTCAACTTTTTCGGGGAAATTGACTGCACAAAGGGAGAGGTCGTTTTCGAAAAAACCCATTCCAGCTTAGCTTAGCTATTCCAGCTTAGCTATTCCAGCTTAGCTACTCCAGCTTAGCTATTCCTCAAGTTTTATGGTGTAAAATAACCGCCCAGAATAGAAAAGAAAAGTAAAGATGCTCTGAAGTTGTTGTATTTTTAAAAAAGTTGTATTCATGTATCTATTGGCCAAACATCAAACGGTTAACTCAATTTGAGCGGGGCCAAAACTTGATCCAAAGACACCTCGGCTGGCTCTGAGTCCCGAGAGCCAAAACTTGATCTATTTTTTGGCCACCTCTTCTGTGCAGCCAATTTGCCCAAAAGCTGAACAAATTCGAAAACTTTTTATATCAAAATGTAGAGGAGATCTTCAGCTTTCGAATAATACTCATATATGTCTTCCTAGGCTTGCCTAGGAGCTAGATCTAGACTTGTTTGGCTTAGATTCAGTCTGTTTGACTTGTTTCGGGCTGATTGACTGCTCAAGACTGAGTCTAGCCTCACTGGAGTGATCTTAGTGAGGTGCTGGAGTGCTTGACTGAGACTAGGCCGGCATGGCGCTTGTCCTGGTTGGCTGGTGTCAGGCTTTGCCTCAAAGCTTTGCCTCAGACCTGTGCAGGGTCTGCTTCAAACCAACACCAAATACAAATCTCTAGATCGAGGGCTCTGGCCAGCACCACGTCGAGGGTAGCGGTGTCGAGGGAAGTGGATTAGTCGAAGGCTCAGGATCTGTCGAGGGATCAGGTACTGTAGTTCTAAATGGTCAAAAGAGTCTACCGTAAGCTAGCTGTTGGATTACGGTAGTTTTTCACCATGCAGATTGCCTAAGGAAAGGTAAAAGGGTTACTGTATCATTTTAAATTCAGGTATCGACACAGTGCTCACTCTAGAAGAAGCTAAAGGTTTCTTTTCTTAAGGAATCTTTTTAATTTCAAGTTTCTAGAGAAGAAAGCCGAGAAAACCGGTGGCGTTGTCGAGGTAAGATTTTACAAGTAAAATATAGTGTCGATGAAATGGTGGATTCGTTTTTAAGAGTTCTTAAGAGATTTTAAGAGTTCTTAAGAGATTTTAACAGATTTTAAGAGACTCTAAGAGATTTTTAGAGAGTTCTTAAGAGACTTTAAGAGGCTTTAAGAGACTCTAAGAGATTCTAGTGTAATCTTTTCTTCAAATTTTCTTTCTATATAGAAAAGTCTAATATATAGAGAAGCTTTCAGGAAAAACTCCTCAGCCTAAGCGGTGACTTCAAACGAGAGGCAAAGAAAGAGAAAAAAGAGAAAGATTAAGAAAAAGAGAAAAAACCCATTGTTTTCAATTAGAACCTTTTAGTTAAAGTAATGAAATTTTATAAGATTTATTTTATGTTTTTCATGTAAACGTACCCTTTCTAGTGCACCGTAATTTCTGTTCACTAGACGGAAATGTTTAAATGAAAGCATAAAGTCCATTCAAGTAAAAATTTCCCATTGAATTCAAATATCTGTGCATAGCAATTTGTCGTTATTTCGTTCATTTTCCTTATTTTTTTATTTGTTGGGATTAAAGGAAATAAAGGTTTCAAATAAAATAAAGTTTTGATAAGGCTTGACAAAGCTTGACAAAGGTTGACAAGGCTTGGCAAGGCTTGTCAAGGCTTGATAAAGCCTTCACAAAGCTTACTTGACAAAGCTACCATAATTACTGAACACCTCGATTTCTTTCATTTAGAATAAATTGGCTTAAAAATCCCGCTAAATGATTGAATTGAGCTCCAGGAAAAAGCAATTTCGCTTTTCTAAAGCTTAAACTTTTCGTATTTACCGGGAAATTGGGTGCAAGTCGATTTTCGGGCAATTTGGATGGCACACTGGCTAACAGTTACAGGATTTTATTTGAATATCGAGCAATCTGGATAGCACATGACAGTTTTATAACAAAAAAACACGGTATAAAGATGAGTTTATCATTTAGGGGATAGATATGAGATTCTTTTCCGAGAAAACGCCTCAAATCTCGCCCCTTTTCCGTTTATTGATTGGATGTCGTGGATCCGACAAATCATACCAATCACTTTTCGCCTCATCACGAAGATTCGCGTCCTGGAAAGAGTTTGAAAAGAGTAGAGAAGTGATGGACAAGGCTAGAACCCGGTTAAGCTTAGGTTTAGGTTTAGGCTTAGTCTTAGACTTAGGCTTGGACTTTTTTCGAAACCGGATCTAGCTGCAAAGGGCCCCCGTAGAATTCTAAGAAACATGCTTTTTTTCCCCATGGACCTTGGCTTTCGAGAAAAACATGTTCAAAGTTTCGGTAACTTTTGGCGAGGGGGAGTCTCTGCGAATAAGTTCGCGTCAAATAGAAGTCTCAATTCAACTGAACAACTAGTACTCTTTCCTCTTTTCTACTGCAGTCCATTTCCTAACTTGCATGCTACAATTTGGCATCTTTAGCCAGATAAGGCTTTAAAGTCACTAATTTCAAGTTGTTTCACAACAAACTTCACCGTAATCATTTCGAGTTCAAAATGACTAGCTAAATCCAACTCAAAAAGTCTACAAAAGCTTTATTCGTCAAAAATTAACTCGAGAATTCGCATGTATATCTCTAAATGTGAGTCCAAAATTTAAACGACCAACTGAAAAGAATAACATTAAGTACTACTAGAAACGATAACAAAAAGATTAGAGAAAATTTTGACAACTCCATTTAGTTAGTTCCGTTTGGTCACTCTGCGCGTTTCGCTTTCTCCATTGCAATCTAAAGAAAACCGATAAAAGTACTGGAGAAACAGGCTATCTGAAAGGCACAACGTTTCTTTGCATTAAAAGTTGACCCAGTTACTCTAGCCCCGGTTGATCATAGTTTCAGCTGACCACGGTTACATAGCAAAAAAAGAGTTCAAATCTCACTAGGGCGCTCAAAATACGGAAATCGTGCAAGCTGGAGCTGTGCAGCTCGACAAGGCATCAAAAATAAATTAAAACCCACCAATCTGCGCAATTCTTCCACTCGTACCTGCTTCTCGCCGAGCTCCACGTATATCTAAAAATAAGAGATAAGCCGTAAAACAAGCTTTGTGGTAAACAACAAAGAATTCAAATAATCACAGCTCTCACCATTTCCTCCAGCCTTTCCTTTTCGTCCAAGGTTGCCTTTAAACGCGTGCAAGCTTCTCGAATAGCTTGTGCTTCTTCTTCGGTGATTCTATCCTCTAAACAGACAGAAATTGACCAAAATCTCATAAAAGAAAAGCTACTATCGTTACTATTTCAAATATCCAAGACCAACCATCGTTTCCGGATCGTTGACCAACCCAGACCTGCTCCTAAAATAGAAAAGTGTTGAATTATGGAAGTCGCAATTTACATGATCCTTGTAACGGTCAGGTCTAGTGAAATCTGACTGAGATCTGAGAATCTGAACCAAAGCTCCAAAATAGCACTATTTTCCACCTTCAACGACTTTTTACAGTCAGTTTACAACTGGCAGAGTTACATAGGGTTCCAAATTTACTTTCTGCTTTCTTTTGTTACAAGTTGACATTTCAAAAAACCCACCAACGACTCAAAAATCAAATTTTTCACGGCAAGAGCACGCGTCAGTGAAGAAGCGCCGGTGGGCGACTCGCGTGAAATCCAAGGTTGAACTTGAAGCTAAATGGAAAAATTTTAAATGTAGCTTTAGCATTTGTGAACCAATCCGGCTAGTAGAATCCAGCAATCCAGAAGCCAGACGGCCGACTTGAGCTAATCCTTCAAACGAACCTCAGCACGTTGACCCAAAGAAGCGGTGTCGACCCCAGGCACTGTTGATGGAGTGAAGGAGGCGGCTGGCGGATCAAGCGGCGGCTGGCGGATCAACTCAATCGGTGACGATTGCTAAAAAAAGGATAAATATTTGTTAGACTGAGTCAGAGTCAAAACGCTTGCCCCCAAACAAACCTCAACTCGCGAACGCTCAACGGCAGCGGTGCTGACTGTTGGAGGAGTGAATGCAACGGCTTGTGGATCCAAAGTGGACTGGAGTGGTGGAGATTCCTAAAGAATTAATGATTCGCAAGACTTGGACTTACCACGAACTATCAAAACCAAAACCCACCACCATACTCTCATCACTGATCTCAATTGGCACCGCGCGAGGATCGTAGATGAAATTCTTGAACTAAAATATGAGAGATCGTTGAAACTTTGGTGCAAATCTTTACCGGATCCTCCTTTTCAACCGCTTTCAATTGGCCATTCTGGTCCGGTTTCACCACATTCTCCTGTTGAAGGTTCTAAAACTTGAATACATCTCAATGTCTCTCGTACTGCCCCCCCTTTGGAACATTTTAGCGGATGCTTCAGCATCCAGATGCCAAAATTATCATTTAACTTTTTCTTCTTGAAATCTCTAGGCCCAAGAGGCCAAGAGCAAGCTAGAAGGGCTAGACAAAGCCTATAAAAAGCGCTTGGACCAGCCAAAAGCCTGGGTCTAACCCGACCCAGCCTCGCTTACAAGTGCAGGGCCAAATAAGGTCCAAGCCTCTGAATACCATTTTCAACTCTTTCACTCACCATTCCTTCCTCGTCCATCTTTGCCACACCATTTTCTTCACGGCTAGCTTCTTGTTGTCGATTAGCGTCCAAGCGAGGCTTCCTTTGTCCTGTGTGTTGTTGCTTGTTGCCAAGCTGCGATTCCTAAAGTACCGTAAATGCTGTATTAAACCTAAGCAGATACCGCGCGTTCTCGATATTTGTTGAAGAATTGACGCAACTCGACATGCATATCCGGGAAACACTCGATCGACGTGCGCTCCGCGTTGTCCAGGTCCGAGAGACGCCTAAAAAGAAGCGATTAGCACATTTTACAATGATAACATTGTCTTCTTTTTAATCAAAGGCTTTAATTATTAGCTTTGCAATTTGTGTGACAACTTGAAAAAATGTTTGCTCAAACTTTTAACAGCAACCAATTTCTATCCAAAGTTTGCTTAACAAGTGAATTTCAACATCTTGAATTTCCACTCAAGATTTTGCTGTAGCACTTGTTTAAGCTGTTTTTAAACAATCCTCACAGCATGTATGTCATTCTCGCTTGTGGCTGATGAGTGTTGATGTGTTGATTTAAGTCCAATTCCGACTCGCTCGTCAAATCGCACGCCTCACAGCCGAATTTGCAAACACTAAATGAAAAGGATTGAGCATCAAAAAATTGAACATGAAACTTGATCTTTTAGCTATAAATTGAATCAAATTTTGCAGCTGCAGCTCAACTTTTAGCACAAGATCGATCAAATGTCTTATTTAAGCGACTATTAAGCCCAAAATTTGGTTAGCTAACAAAAAACAAATGATCAGCTTGGTTCTGACCCAGCTTTGAGCAAGTTTTGACTGCTTTAGCTCAAGCTTGGTCGAATATCTTTATGTAAATCTCATACTGTCTTCAAGTCAAGCAGATTAAAAACACCAAAAAACTCACGTCATGTGCGTGAAAACGTGTTTTCCCGCCTCGAGCGATGATAACAGTGGTTGCGCGCACTTCTGAAGAGGGAAATGATATAAAATATGACAAAGAATCCCTTTAAACACATTTAGAGCACAACTTTAACACTTCTCTCTGGAAGTTTCGCATTTTCTGGGAAAAAAGAACATGCTGAATTGCGTGTGAAAGTTTTTAAAGTAATTCCGAGCAATTTAAAACTCGAAAACTCGAGCCAAAACAAGATAAAAGTAATCAAAAACGTCAATTCTATCAATTCAGCACATCGATCACCCAAAAATTTGGCATAAACATTCGACTTTGAAGCGTTTTACGGAGAAATGATAAAATTTTCAAACAAATTGCTTGTTTTGAGCAAAATTAAGCGAATCTAACATGCTGAATTGAGTGAACCATAAAATCAGGCTCTAACTGCTAGCGAAGTGCAAATTCTAAACACCCACCATGCATTTACGCGATTCAAATGGTGCTTGCATTTCCAGCAGCTCTTGATCAAATCCGTTGTAGGTGCTGAAAAGCATAGAATTCGCATGAAATCTTGTAAAAATAAGAAACTTGAGAGAAAAACGCAAAAAGAGACACGCTTTGGGGAGAAATTGGGCAAAATTTTTGACTGCCTAGGTAGAAATGATGCTCTAAACAGGTCAGAATCGATAAAATTTCAAATTCGATAAAATTGCACTCGCACTGAGCGCTTTCAACAAGATAAGCGCTAAATTTTAAGCAAATTCTTCTAAAATGAAAAAAATGAAAAATGAAAAATGAAAATCCGCCGATTTTCAGTTATTTATACTTTCATTGTGAAACACTTGCCTTTTCTGTAATATTTTTCTAATTGACTGAATATCTTTGAAGGCAAGCGGCTAATTTTCATCCCAGGCCATTGATGCCAGACTTTCGGAAGACTTTTTCTTCAAACTTTCAACATTATTTGTGATTTTGAGCGGGCAATTTTATCGAATTTTATCGAATTTTATCGAATTTGGTATGTTTTTCGCCCGAAACGTCAAAATTTGTTAGAAAAGTTTCTTTTCCAAGTTTTTCTATAAGAGTTTGTTGCTAGAAACCTTCGGCAAATGTGCAAATTTAGCAAATTTTGTAGAATTTGGCATGTTTTGAGCAGAATTTCCCTCAAAAACATCAAAATTTGTTAGAAAAAGTCGCTTTTCAAAGTTTTTGTATAAAAATGTGTGATTATCTTGCCGAAAACCTTCCGCACATGTGTAAATTTATGAAATTTTATCGATTCTGACCTGTTTAGAGCATCATTTCTACCTAGGCAGTCAAAAATTTTGCCCAATTTCTCCCCAAAGCGTGTCTCTTTTTGCGTTTCTCTCTCAAGTTTCTTATTTTTACAAGATTTGTTTACCAAACAGTTTTTGGTTTTCAGTTGTCCAAAATTTCTATTTTTATATGCAAGAAAAACTTTATTGAAACGATTAATAAAAATTAAGAAAAACAAATAAAAACAAAAAACGGGCGTATTTTTGATGCTCAAAAGTCTTGTAACATTTGAAGTATATTGCTTTTTTTTTGGTTTTTGTTTTCTTTATTTTCTTTTTATATAACAAAAAATGATTTTTTTTAGATGCCTGGACGATATTTATCAACTCGGGACAAAGAAAAATTTTGTGGAAGCGCGAGAAAAAGGAATTCAGAGGAAAGATGTATACACGGAACTCGGCGAGAAGCAGGTACGAGTGGAAGAATTGCGCAGATTGGTGGGTTTTAATTTATTTTTGATGCCTTGTCGAGCTGTGGGCTCCAGCTTGCACGATTTCCGAATTTTGAGCGCCCTAGTGAGATTTGAACCCTTTTTTTGCTATGTAACCGTGGTCAGCTGAAACTATGATAACTGGGTCAACTTTTAATGCAAAGAAACGTGGTGCGTTTCAGATGCTTGCTAGTTACTTTCCTTTTTCAAAACTTGCTTTATTTTATTTTTAGATGTACACGGAGCTCGGCGAGCGGCTGTTCAAAGCGGCAGAATTACGCCAAGAGGTAGGTATTTTTCATGGCTTGTCGTGCTGTGCGCTCCAGCTTGCTCCGAAATTTGGGCGCTCTAGTGAGAAATTGAACCTTTTTTTTGGTATTTAACCGTGATCGGCTGAAACTTTGATCGACCGGGGCTAGAGTAACTGGGTTAACTTTTAATGTAAAGAAACGTTGTGCATTTCCAAAAGCCTGTTTCTCCAATACTTTTATCGGTTTTCTTTAGATTGCAATGGAGAAAGCGAAGCGCAGAGTGACCAAACGGAACTAACTATTCTCTGATCGTTTTGTTCTCGTTTCCATTTTCTTTGTTTTGATGTTAAGAGTACTTAATGTTGTTCTTTTCAGTTGGTCGTTTAAATTTTGGACTCACATTTACAGATATACATGCGAATTCTCGAGTTAATTTTTGACGAATAAAGCTTTTGTAGACTTTTTGAGTTGGATTTAGCTAGTCATTTTGAACTCGAAATGATTACGGTGAAGTTTGTTGTGAAACAACTTGAAATTAGTGACTTTAAAGCCTTATCTGGCTAAAGATGCCAAATTGTAGCATGCAAGTTAGGAAATGGACTGCAGTAGAAAAGAGGAAAGAGTACTAGTTGTTCAGTTGAATTGAGACTTCTATTTGACGCGACCTTATTCGCAGAGACTCCCCCTCGCCAAAAGTTACCGAAACTTTGAACATGTTTTTCTCGAAAGCCAAGGTCCATGGGGAAAAAAAAGCATGTTTCTTAGAATTCTACGGGGACCTTTTGCAGCTAGATCCGGTTTCGAAAATCGAACTTAGCCACTTTGCCATCCAAATTGCCCGAAAATCGACTTGCACCCAATTTCCCGGTAAATACGAAAAGTTTAAGCTTTAGAAAAGCGAAATTGCTTTTTTCCTGGAGCTCAATTCAATCATTTAGCGGGATTTTTAAGCCAATTTATTCTAAATGAAAGAAATCGAGGTGTTCAGTAATTATGGTAGCTTTGTCAAGTAAGCTTTGTGAAGGCTTTATCAAGCCTTGACAAGCCTTGCCAAGCCTTGTCAACCTTTGTCAAGCTTTGTCAAGCCTTATCAAAACTTTATTTTATTTGAAACCTTTATTTCCTTTAATCCCAACAAATAAAAAAATAAGGAAAATGAACGAAATAACGACAAATTGCTATGCACAGATATTTGAATTCAATGGGAAATTTTTACTTGAATGGACTTTATGCTTTCATTTAAACATTTCCGTCTAGTGAACAGAAATTACGGTGCACTAGAAAGGGTACGTTTACATGAAAAACATAAAATAAATCTTATAAAATTTCATTACTTTAACTAAAAGGTTCTAATTGAAAACAATGGGTTTTTTTCTCTTTTTCTTAATCTTTCTCTTTTTTCTCTTTCTTTGCCTCTCGTTTGAAGTCACCGCTTAGGCTGAGGAGTTTTTCCTGAAAGCTTCTCTATATATTAGACTTTTCTATATAGAAAGAAAATTTGAAGAAAAGATTACACTAGAATCTCTTAGAGTCTCTTAAAGCCTCTTAAAGTCTCTTAAGAACTCTCTAAAAATCTCTTAGAGTCTCTTAAAATCTGTTAAAATCTCTTAAGAACTCTTAAAATCTCTTAAGAACTCTTAAAAACGAATCCACCATTTCATCGACACTATATTTTACTTGTAAAATCTTACCTCGACAACGCCACCGGTTTTCTCGGCTTTCTTCTCTAGAAACTTGAAATTAAAAAGATTCCTTAAGAAAAGAAACCTTTAGCTTCTTCTAGAGTGAGCACTGTGTCGATACCTGAATTTAAAATGATACAGTAACCCTTTTACCTTTCCTTAGGCAATCTGCATGGTGAAAAACTACCGTAATCCAACAGCTAGCTTACGGTAGACTCTTTTTGACCATTTAGAACTACAGTACCTGATCCCTCGACAGATCCTGAGCCTTCGACTAATCCACTTCCCTCGACACCGCTACCCTCGACGTGGTGCTGGCCAGAGCCCTCGATCTAGAGATTTGTATTTGGTGTTGGTTTGAAGCAGACCCTGCACAGGTCTGAGGCAAAGCTTTGAGGCAAAGCCTGACACCAGCCAACCAGGACAAGCGCCATGCCGGCCTAGTCTCAGTCAAGCACTCCAGCACCTCACTAAGATCACTCCAGTGAGGCTAGACTCAGTCTTGAGCAGTCAATCAGCCCGAAACAAGTCAAACAGACTGAATCTAAGCCAAACAAGTCTAGATCTAGCTCCTAGGCAAGCCTAGGTCCAAGGTTGAGCAGATCAATCTAAGCCAGACCATAGGTTAACAAGGCTGGTACCGTATTCCTTTGTGCACTCCTTTACAGTACCCATTTACAGTACCCGTCCACAGTAGCCGTCTACAGTCTTCTCTACAGTACTTCTCTACAGTACTCCCCTACAATCCCCTCTACAATCCCCTCTACAATCCCCTCTACAATCCCCTCTACAATCCCCTCTACAATCCCCTCTACAATCTCCTCTACAATCTCCTCTACAGTCCCCGTCTTCTCCTCACCTCTGCAGATCCCTCTTCAACCTTCTCCTCATCTTTCTTCTTCAGCCCTTCACCCGATCCCTCAACGCCCTCGGCTGGCTCGATCTGAAAACATTAGAATGAAATTGAGCTGATATCTGCTCTCCGTTCATAGTTGTATAGCGTACTTTGGTCATAACTTCAAATAAACAATCGATTCATCGTTTGAAATCAAAAGCAGATGGAATTAAATCTACGAAAAGTTAGAAAATGAAAAGTTAAAAGAATTCCTGGGGATTCCCCCTAACACCAAGAAAGTTAGACGGGAGAAATTGAAAGAAACTCTCTTTTCTTCTGCTTATTGGTTAGTACATTTTCAATGAACAAACCATGATCACCTTGCCTGGCTTGAGCACGAGACGACGCTCGCGTTTCGGATGAGAGGAGACCAGCTGCAAAAAGCGATGAATCGATTTGGAGAGTGTTTTTTTGAAATCCAGGTTAGCTCCAAGATGGGCTAAGGGGGAAGCAATTAACTTGCAATTAACTAGGCTTGGCTGGCTTGCAAGCTGGCTTGGCTGGCTTGCAAGCTGGCTTGGCTGGCTTGCAAGCTGGCTTGGCTGGCTTGCAAGCTGGCTTGGCTTAGCCTAAGCCAAGCCAGCTAGCCCCGAATTCTTCCTTACACAAAGAGGAATCGATTTCTCAGAGTCACCTAGATCAATCCTAGCATTTCAACTCTGCTCATCTTTAAACTTAATGCCTTCTGGAGCGAGGGGCACGAAGTACCATCGTGGTGTAATGGCTAGCATAGTTGTCTGGGAGGCGAGAAGTCGAGGGTTCGAGTCCCAGCCGAGGCTTTTGGGTGAGCCTTTTGTTCTCCTTTGTTCCCCTTTGTTCCCTTTTAAACTCTAATCCCTGTTCTCGTTTATTTAACTTACTTGACAACTGATGAGAATGAAGAGAACGATAATGGATAAACGATGCATGACTTTGTTAATCTTAAAGATATTTCTGATAAATAACCAAACAAAAAAAAACAAGATAAACTTTTGCTTTGCTTTCTTGTAAACGCATCATTTCTATTGCACTGTCATTCGCGATTGTTTTCAATAAAGAAAATGCCCTACAGCGATAGAAAGGATCCGTTTACGTGAGCACAAAGTAAACCAAAAGCACCAAAAGCACCGAAAGCTAGTAAAGTAGAGTTGAGAAGAATCAAATGGATACTGTAACTCTTCTCTAATAGATAAAAATGTTTTGTGCTTTCCAGATTGCTTGATATTCTGTTAAGCGTACTAGTAATTGTTAGCAATAATTGTTAGCAATCACTCTATCATCAAGATCACTGAAAAAAGCGACTTGCACGACTTGCACGAGTTGCATGACTTGCACGAGTTGCACGAGTTGCACGAGTTGCACGAGTTGCACGAGTTGCACGAGTTGCACGAGTTGCACGAGTTGCACGAGTTGCACGAGTTTCCCAGCAAATTCGAAAAGTTTCAAGACTTACAGTACTGGACAATGAAATATGATATTTGAAAAACGATCGTCAGACCGATCGTCACTTTCGCGCGTCTGTAACTCCCTTGTCTTTGAGTTTAAACTATTAGTGTTATGCATTTTTTGAAAGCTCTTTTCAATGGCTACACAATGGTAATATTAATATTTAGAAATACGGTAAAGACAAGGGAGTTACAGACGCGCGAAAGTGACGCTCGTTTTTCAAGTATGATATTTCATTGTCCAGTAGTGAGTCGAAAAAGGAAATCCCTCATTCCTGGAGCTCATCCAAGCATTCAACGAGAGATTTTAATCTATTTATATGTAAATGAACAAATCAGACAAATCAGACAAATCAGACATTCGGGGATTACGGTAGCTTTGTCTAATTTTAATTTTTAAGATAAAATAAATGGGAATTGATTTGATTGTTTTGATTGTTTTGATTAATTTGATTAATTTGATTGTTTTGATTGATTTGATTAATTTGATTAATTTGATTGATTTGAAAATCGTTGAGAATAGATATTTCTTTTTAAAAAAAACCCCAAGCTTTAACTGGAGAAAAACTGGAAAACTCTCATTTCTGGAGCTCCAATTCGAATAAAATAAGAAAGAAAAAAGAAGAGAAAAGAGAGCAATTCGATTAGATGACTATTCAGCTGAAGTGGAAACGATTTCATAAAGAGAAAGTCGCTTTTTTCGATGATCTGGATGGCACAGATGGGTATTGCTAAGATTTACAGTACGCCTAGCTGAATATCGAGTAATCTGGACATCACACGGTCATCTGAACACTGAACCCAAAAACATAAAGAGAAAAAAAAGAGCGAACGGAAGCGCGCGCGTTTGTTTGCGCACAAAGTCGAACGAGCGATTGAGCTTGATTGAGCAATTTGAGGCGGCGAAAAAACGATGATCAGTGAAACGATTTTCAAGAGTCGGCGACTCTGGAAAGCAGCTCGAAAGCTGGCAATAGTCGAGGCGGTTAGTGAAATGAAAGTGACGGGGCGACGCCTCTCGTTTTCTACGCTGATCCCATCTTTTTGTGTGGTCATCATCAAACGCTGACATTGACGCGAGAAAGGGCGGAACCACCCACCAAACACCATAATTTTATACTTTTTCTTGAGTTCTCTCTTCTTTCTTTTTTATTTGACTAAAAGGGTTACTGTTTACTGTACTAGAAAGTTACTTTATCAGGTCTATTGACTATTGATTGAAAAAACGATTTCTTATGAGGTAAAGCTAGGGTAATTTGGGATAACCAGGGATCCGAATGGGTAGATTTGTCCGAATCGGTTGTCTAAAGCGAAAGCTCATACAGCCTACAGCTTTCAAAGCCTGCAGCCGCGCCACGTTGAAACACGGTATCCCGTTAGATCGGTCAAGTCAAGCAACGTTAATTGACCAACCAGTTCACCATTCATATGGTGAACTGGTTGTCAATTACCTAAGCCTAAGCCCACTAAGCCCCTTCTCCACGGGATTGAAATAATCAGGGATCCGAATGGGTAAACTTGTCTAAAGCGAAAGCTCATCTAAACCCAATAGCTTTCTCCTCCGATATTGTCTCTCCTACATTGTCCCATCCTGTTTTTTCTTGAGTTCTCTAGAGTTTCAAAGGTTTAGGCCAAATGAGGGATTGATTGAGGCCTTAAACTCAACAAAATTTTGCTTATCTCCCCGGATTTCTCTTAAATAAAGTACACAAGGTTTTGTAGAGGATCGAATTTTTGATATATTGAAGAATGTTGTCCCACGCTTTCTCCAGCTTTGCAAAAATCTTCTGTGACATCCAGCTAAGGTTTATTTGACTAAAGAGTTACTGTTTATTCTACCAGAAAGTTTCTTTATCCAGCCTACAGTGCCATTGTGCCAGAAACTTTACTGAGTGTACCCTTTCGGTGAAAGGAAAGTGTACCCTTTCGGTGAAAGGTAGAAATTTGAAAGAAAACCTGAATCTGAACCTAAATCAAGTGCTGCCGTTTACCCCAATTCCGGATTCGACTTTCAACTATTACGATTAGTAAAGTTGCATTCATTTCTTTAGAACTTTCAAAAAACTATACTGATCGCTTTTCATCGACGACGAAAACGACGACAGCGACGATGACAAAGCAATTGTTCTTTTTCACTGTGCGAAAAAACGAAAGAAAAAAAAAGCTTTTCATTGACCTTTTATTTCTCTATTGTTTCCAATTTGCTTTGGGGAACAAAAAGTGAGACGCGTTTCAAGCTGAAATAGTAAAAAAAGAGGAATTGAGGGGGGAAAAGTGAAGAAATTGAAGAAATGAAAGAAAAGAAAAGTGATCGAGGTCAACTAGAGAAATGAGATGCATTTTTGAGGGTGAGTCAATGAGCAATTCGAACGATTACGAGCTCAACCCCGGGCTTTTCGCTTTCAGTAAAGTGTGCAAGCGTTCCCTTTCTGGCGCACTTGCGTTGGGGGGTTACTGTATCGATTCTGGATACACCCCACTCAATATCTCAATTAATCGATTGTTTAGGGTTATCACGGAGTACGATAGCTCTTTCCTAAGGTCACCATTTCGAAATGTGAACGAGCCCAGGTGAGTCAAAGCTTTTGGCTGACTGTGTGTACTTTGTGCTCTCAAAAATCTGTAGACGCACGCCTTTCTGGCGCACTGAATCTCTGAATTTTCTTACGTCGTTGCTACAAAGAAAAACTGAGAATCGAAAAACTGGGATGCGTCAGAAGGCGAGCGTTTACAAGACTCAAGCTCAAAGTAGACCGCAAAATGTGAATTCCCGGATCATTCAGTCAAGTAAAGTTTCGTTGCTGGACTTACATCGTCTTTTTTTGCCTTTAAATATTTTCGAAGGCAACATTCCCCCCAAGAATTTCAAAAACGCAATAAAGTGTCATTTAACTTTTTGTTCGATGTTGTTTTCGATTTTGGAAGTCACGTTTTTGCTTGCGAGTTGAACCCTTCAAGAAAAGAGAAAAAAATGATTGGGATGGGCGATAAAAATTGAGGAAACGGGAAATCGGTGGAACGGAGGGAAAACGAAGAACGCGGACTCTTTGTTAATTCGATCCTATTTCGCAACTCCGACTTAACGAACGCACTTTTGTTTGCAGACTTTTGCACTATGTAGTGACTGGCCGGGTCCAGTTGGCATATCACAGAATAGCATAGAATTTCATAGAATTTTAATGTAAAAATGTTCGGTTAACGAGTTCTAAAAAATCTCTTTCCATTCGCTAGAATGTCAAATTCGTATTTATTTCGCAAGAAAAATCCGTCGAGTGATATTCCATAAAAAAAAAGATAGCAGACGTGAGTTTTCCATTCATTTCTCCATCGGGAAGCCGACTTGAAGCGTGACAACACGAGAATCGTCTCCATCAACGCCGCCATTGCCTGCGGCCGCCATTTGAACCGATCTTCCTTGCGTGAATGCCTGCAATGACAACGGAATTAGAAAACAAATTTCCAATAAGACACTTTCACTTTTCGGTTATCTCCCAACAACTTAAAAGTTTTAGGTAACTAGTTCAAGTAAATCCAAGTATAAATCCTCCGACGTGGTTCAAACTTATTTTCATGCCATCAGCTTTATTTTAAAGCCATAAAAGAGACCCCCCTCCTTAAAATATTCATTTAAATTTAGAGACTCATCCATCTTTTTGATGGGTTTCTGCGGGCTTAACCAAATGCTTTATTTTTGGTTTTAGGGAAATATTTCAAGGGGATTTTGTGGAGTTCAAAAATCTCCTCGACTTCAACACTCGACGTCTCACAAAAAAACCCGGGTAATTCAAGAATATCCCCAGCTAGCTCACCTTATCCAAGCGTCCACCCTCAGTGTGCACCTCTTTTCCCACATACTCTTCCACGTCTTCTTCCGGCTCGATTTCCCAGATGAGACTTGTGGTCGTGCTTTGAACGGTCGGATCACTCTTTGGGGCTTCTTCAGAGTCGGTTTTCTGCTGATGTTGACCAATTTCTGAGGTGAAACTCTAAACAAGACAGGATTTCTCAAACTAAATCAAGAATCACTATTTAAAATTTGAAAACTAGGTGATTCGAGCATCGGATGATTTGGAATAACCAGCTAGGCACGGCAGTTTTCACTAGCACTCGAAAAAACAAACAAACCTTCGTATCTCCGTAATCCACTTTGGTGTCATAGCCGAATGGTCTTTCAATCAACCGAACACCGCTCTGAAGCTAATAAAAATTTAAATGAAAATGAATGCAAAAACACACCTTCCCCTTCTCCACCATTTCCACCGCGTACTTCTCACCCATTGGCAATTCACGAGAGCGACTTGAATGCATCGAGTAGACATCGCCATCTGAAAAGGAAAGTACTAACATTGAACAAGAAATAATTGTTGGCAGGGATGCTCCAACCTAGAACCCGTAAGCAAGGAACAGGCCAGCCAAGGCATTGTCGAGGTCGAGACCCAGAAGCCAAGACTCGTGGCGAACTTTTCGAGGGCCAGGCCAGGGCAGGCAAGGTCAGAAGGACCTGCTGACCTGGCTTCTGTCTTCTCTGTCAATTTGAATAAAGTCTATGGGCTGATGCAACATTTTGCCAAAAATTGAGCGCTAAAGAGTACGTTTTAGAGTATCTTTACCAGAGCTGCGAAAAGCTAAAAGCCTGACCTCGAAATAAAATCTTTACCAAGGCTGTGTTCAAAAGCTAAAAGCCTGACCAAAGCCACAAAGAGTGACCCGGCTTTGTCTGACCTCAGAAAATCGAAGAGCACAGGCCAAAAAAAGCCAATGATGTCATCTGTTGGTTCATTTTGTTAAATTTAAAGACTCTTTCCAAAGTTTTTTTGATGATCAAAAATGTTAACCCCCCACAAAACAGAACCTCGATCAATAAACCGTCGTGGCGGCTTCGAGGGTACTTGTTCGCCGAAGAGGGTGATTGTTGACCACGTTGAGTCGGATGATCTTCCATAAAACTCGAACGGCTCCTCGTCGGGCAGATACAACGGAAATGACACATAGGTGGAGGTGGTCACCGAAACGGAGCTGTCGGGGAGTGAGTCGGGAGAATTGCGAGCATCTAGAGAACAATGGGATAATGTTGTTAGTAATAGTAGAAAAAACTTCAAGAGAAAGGCTAGTGGCAAACATTTTTCGCAAATATCACAAAAGTACAATGAAGCCAAACTAATGGGACCCTTTTAACTAAACAAAAAGCAAGACGTTCCCCTATCAAGATTAAACTGATTGTAAAAAGCGAGGCTTTTCTCACGTGTCAAAGCTAAGAGATAGATTTTTTCATCATCCAACCTTTTGCGCACTTTGACGAACTGGGAAGACGATTACGAACACCCTTTAAAAGACTTGAAAACCACTTCATCGACGAATAGAAAATAGGAAATGATTTCGGCAATGATATGAGCAGAGGAAAGCAGCCACGTATGCAAATGTCCAAATGCAAAACTTGAGTAGGGTGAAGTTTTCTTGAAACGCAACGCTGCTGAGGATTTGAAGCCACCAAGGTTATTATTGTTCCAAAAAAGTCAATTTTTGACTTTTGCATGCCTTATGGCTTGTTCAGGCCCAAGATTTTAAGCGTGAAGCCAATAGAGGCCACAAAGTCCACTAAACAGCTGGAAAAGTCAGTGACCAAGTTTTGAAGTTTTGCGAGCCCTAGAAGCCACTGCATCACGGTAAAAGGTCAGTAAGTTCTTGAATGAAATGTAGCACGAGGATTTGTCAACCTTTCCTGCATTTAGAGGCTCTCTTTAGCCGGCCTGCAAATCTCATTGGCAATTGCCTAGTATAAGTTATCATTTTGATTTTATAAAACCAGGCAACGTTACCTTTCTTCATTTGAGATCAGTTGTCATCGGCGTTGTTCTCGTCCACGCCTCTCAATGGCTTCAACGGGAGAAGTTCAGCGCGAAAAGTGGCCGCACATTCTTCGGGAGCCGATAAACCCTCGATCGCCGTCGATTTTGCACTAAAAACGAATCTTTAGATGCAACTTTTAAAACATATAAAGGCTAATCGTAATTTACGGATGATTCTTTCTAACTTTAAAGTATATTTCTGTCTTTTGTTTATGAAACTTAGCTAAATGAGTGAGTTTGGATAAAGAAAAAGAAGTCAGCGTGAATCAGTAATCAAAATTTCATGGTTCATAACTTTGTCTACAGATATTATCACTAGTTTTTGTGTTTAACTTGAGCCATTCTTAGAGAGCTTGCAGGACTGACCCCCTCCCGGACCTGACAACGTGCTACTAGAGTATAATAGATACGTTGATACTACGCAAAGATAAAAAAGTCTAACACATGGCAGAGGTCTCTGATTTTAGCCCCCCCCCCCTCCGATAATGGGAAGAAACCGCCAAGAGTCAGTGCAGCTAACGTCATTTCTCAAAATAGGTGCACGTTTCAAAAAAAGATCCAACCCTGTCTTTTTCTCAGCTTTGTCGAAATGAATCGCAATCGAAAGCACTCGATTTTCATTTGTTTTCGTGTATCGCGTCAACAATTCGCGCAGCGTTCCGCGAAGCGCCTAAAATTAAGCAAATTGAGACGATTTCTAAACATTCAATGTATAAATTGGGAAAAAGAAGCAACGATTTAAAGGGGAAAGGCGTGGAAATTCGTTGGCAAACTAGCGTTTGCACGAAATTCACTCTGGAAATGTTGAAAAAGGTTCAAACACGCGAAATTTTTGGTTAACTGAAGCTTTTTCGAGGTTTTTTCACTCATTCAACCGGTTTTGCGAAACTTTATGTGAAAATGTGGCAAAATTTCTAAAAAACACAAAAAACTACTGTTAAAACCACGCTTTGCCATCATTTTGAGCAGTCAATGACATCAAATTTAGTCTTTTCCTGCACAAATCTCCGAAATCTCACTATTTTCTCACTGTACGGCAACGTGAATCGATCATTTACTCGCGCGACATTTCGATTCTTTTGATCTTTTGATTGAGAAATCGAAAAGGAACAAAGAAATTCACTTTTATATCCGAAATTGCGACGGGGGTTTAAATGTAAATTTCAGTTGATTAGCTGACTATCTTCAAAGCGACTTTCCGCCAGTTTATTTGCGCAACTTTTTGTCGTTAATGGGGAGTTAGATTCCTATTAACGTGCGCTTTGAAGAGATAGGCGCTTTCTAAAGCGTGGATGCGCTACCGTATCCTGCACAAAAATCCCCTTTTTGCCTTTCATTTCAGAGTCTTTTTGGGCTAAGGCATTTAGGCTCTTGCCGAGTTTCCTGGTATTTCGAATGATGTGTTCCTTCCAGATCAAACTTGCATTTCAAATCGAATCAGCTGCTGCGTTTTGGTGTAGACTTAAGAAATTCATTTTTAGAAATCAAGTTAATTTTTTTCCTCCGATGTGATCGCATGTTAGTAGTTCTGCCTCTAATTATTGAATAATTATTATTTCAAACTTTACCCCACTTGGAAAGAGTTTTTTTAGAAAACTCTGCGCAAAGTTTTCTCGGTAGAAAAAGATGAAACCGGAGGTTTTCACGGCGATTGTCGCGTTTTTCCACGATATGGATGCTCGCTACGTGCAATGAGTCGACGACGAATTGACCATTTCGTGGTCACAACACGGTTTTTTTTCGTTCACTATCGATAAAATGTGTTTTTTTGTTTCCCTTTTCCAGTGTTTATAAAAAACACAAATTCGCCTCGTTTAACCATAATATTAGGGAAATCAAAGTTTCAATTGAATAGTTGTAAATCGATTTGTAAAGGATTGATATGGTATATAAGGGAATTGATATGTTCCTCAGATTTTTTTCACACCATCTAATTGTTATTTGCCCTCATTTTTCTAGTACCGACTCTCTTTTGGCTCCATTTCGCACCTAATGCCGAAAGAACCCCGTCAATGAATAGGATTGCTTCAGTGAGAGCATTTTCACGCTCATTTGCTTTTTTGTTTGCGCACGACTCTTTCAAAAAACTGAATTTCTTATTGGGTGTCACCTCCAATAAATCTCTTCATTTTATCGTTAACTTTGAAGAATTTTCAAGCTAATGTGTCGGAAGTAGGATTTTTAGTTGTGAAAATGAGTCCTATATGCGTGAAACGCTAAGAATCATTCCTTTCTTCGTTCAATACCTTTTTTTTCTTGTTTTCTCTCTAAATTTGCCCATTTTATTGTCATTTTTTCAGGGATGACTGACCATGGAGTATCGCCGGCTCTTCAAGCGGCCACAAACATCGCGCAGCAACCGACTAATAAGGAGGAAGAGGTATTTGGTGTTTAACTTCAAACTAGGTTACTTGTGCCTAACGTTTTCCCGTTTATGTTTAACGGTAGATAGAGTGGGGCGCATTTTAAAAATGAAAATATCTCTTGAAGCGTTTTTGTTGGCCGATTAAGCCGAGGAACGACGAGAACATTTTTAATTTTCCTTTTTCTAGGTGAACAGAGACGACATCGTGCAATTGATCATCGATCTGCGCGATCCAAAGCGCCGCGAAGAAGTGCTTTTGGAGCTGAGGTTCTTTGAAAATCGATTATTGACAATATTTTGCTTTAGCAAGAAACGTGATGCGATTCCCGAGTTGCCCATCTGGCTGTGGCACTCGTTTGGGACGATGGCTTGCCTCCTGCAAGAGGTACTTTTAAAGTAGACTTTGATAGCGCACCGGCAATAATCACAGATGTAACTGAGTTAAATTTTTAATCAATAGTGATAAAAATTGTTGAAAGATGAAAGCTACCTAGGTTTCAATAAACCTACTAGTGTTTTTAGGTAATTTCAATCTATCCATGCATCATGCCACCCACTCTCACCGCCGCTCAATCGAATCGAACGTGTAACGCTCTCGCTTTGATGCAATGCGTCGCAAGTCATAAGGAAACTCGGGGACCATTCCTTGCGGGTTAGTACTAGAGTGAAACTAGTCTAGTCGCGTTACCTTTAAAATTTATTCTTTTTAGCTCACATCCCCTTGTTTCTCTACCCATTCCTGCACACAACAAAGACGTCTCGTCCATTTGAATATCTTCGTCTCACTTCGCTTGGTGTGATCGGTGCACTTGTGAAAACCGATGAAAAAGAAGTAAATGCCATTTTCGCTCAAGCAGCATTTTGCCTTTAGGTAATTCAATTTTTGCTGTCGACGGAGATCATTCCACTCTGTTTGCGCATTATGGAACAGGGAACCGAGCTTAGCAAGACGGTCGCCACCTTCATTCTTCAGGTTGCATAACTTGAGTTCAAAGAATAACGTCGATTTCTTTAGAAAATTCTATTGGATGATACGGGTTTGGCTTATATTTGTCAAACCTATGAAAGATTCTCACATGTGGCAATGATTCTGGGAAAGATGGTAAGTCTTTTGCGACCGTTTAAAGATCAGTGCAAAGCTTAGGTGCTCAAATTGGCCAAAGAAGCGTCGCCTCGACTGCTGAAACACGTGGTGCGCTGCTACTCACGGCTTTCGGACAATCCAAGGTACTTCGTCTTAAGCTAGAAATTTATCTAATTTGGTGCTTTTTAGAGCTCGTCAAGCTTTGCGACAATGTCTTCCTGATCAATTGCGTGATGACACCTTCAAGGTTTGTTTTACTTGACTACTTGCAATTTATTAAATTTAGATAAGCTTGGATGAAGATCGTTCGACAAAACATTGGCTCAACATGCTTCTCCGCAATCTAAGTGAGTCTGATGCTTTTAAACCAGTTTCAGATAACTAATTGGAAAGTCATAACTTGAGAACAAATTGTGTCTTGCAAATTTGTCAGCTTGTGTAACCTGGACCTGGCCTAGTTTAGCTAAAATTTTGGCACCATATCAATTGGAAGGTTTTTCTTATAGAATTTTTCAAATTTAGACTACCCTCCACTGTCCGACGACTAAACGAGCTGCCCCCGACCGATGGAGTAACAAAAAGCGTGTCTTATTTGGTAGTACTTCTAAAGTTTTTTGTGTTTTATAATGGCTTCTTTTGTTGCTAATCATATTGACAGTAGTTGTATCTTTTTTTTCTGCTTAATTATATAGATTCCTTGTAACTACACATTTCCTCCGCAATTGGTTATACCGGTATATCTTTTTAATTTGTTATTTCCGAGTTTTATCATCACCACCCACATCTTTGGATTGATTATTCTTTTGTATCTCTTGTTGGTAATTGATTTTTATACTTGATAAACGTTTTAACACTACTTTAAAAAATGGTAAATGCAGGTAAAGATTTGGTAATCTTCAAGAAATACTGGAGTTGTGGTAAAGTGGGAATATTTTTTTGAAAAGCGAGGACGGCTTTTCACAAACAGTGATCTAGTATTGAATTGAAATTGGCTTTGATTCTGCTGGCGGCTTTTCTTTTGTAGCTGCTTCTCACCTGTTTTCGAAAGAAAATTTTGAATGGAATTTTTTTACCCAACAAACTACATTCGAGTTCAAATCTTCCGTTCATTTCGCTTCGTAATAAAAAAATTCAAAAAGTTATTTTTGCTGAAATCTTTTCATTAATAATAATCTATTTCTTTAGATTCCGCTTCTCTCCGATGAATCATCGAGTATTTCCATCGACATCGGCAGTCCATCAACAATCGGCCCAACATCGAGAACATGAAGTAGACGTTGAGGGTATTGCTATCTCGTTCCTCTTCCAGCCCTACCCCCAACAAATTGACTACATGAGGAGTGTGATTCGGGCGCTGAACATGGTTAGTTTTTGAAGTTTTTTTATCTAAAAAAGGTGCAACTTCATTTGCGAGAGTCACTTTGAACACTTTGACTTACTGAAATTTGTTTGAACAGCCTAGAATTTGAATGGAGACACATGAATTAGGCGGTAAGTGTCATCTTTCAAATGCAGTAACACCTATAAAGTTAAGCTGATGTACCTTAAATGGAAATATGCAATTTGTGACTGATCATAAACTGGAAAAAGCTATTTTCCAGAAAACTTATTCTTTTCAGAAACACGATGCCGTCCTTGAATCGCCGACGGGAACCGGGAAAACGTTGTCGTTGCTGTGCTCGACACTGGCTTGGCTCCGGAGCAATCAAATGAAAGTGACTCTAAACGACGTGGCCGGCATGGAAACGGGTTAGTTCTTGAGAAAAACTTTAAACACGGTAATGTTGTAAAAAAAATGTGAAATCAGATTCTTAGTCGCAACTGCAAATGATAAACTTTAACTTTTCATTGAAAGGCATATTTGAGAACTAATTCTTACTCAATCTATTCAATTTTTAAATCTTCAATTCCTCATTCTAGGTCCAACCATTGCAAAAAGGAATGGGCAGGCGCGAAAAATCTTCTACTGCTCGCGCACGCACAGCCAACTCGCGCAAGTTGTCTCCGAGTTGAATAGGACAATTTACAAAGAGTGAGTGCGAAAATTATTTTTACTCGAAAACTTTTCCATCTTTAGTGTCCGTTGTGCGGTACTTGGAGGCCGGGAGCAACTCTGCACAAACGACTTGTTGGTTTTTATTAAAAAGTTGATTTGAGAAGCGCCTTAATATGTTGAAATTCTCTTCTTTCAGAGTCACCCGGTTGAAAGATTCAACGAAAATGACGGCCGCTTGCCACTCGTTTCGCAAGAAGCACTCATGTTTTGTTTACAACAAATGGGATAGTAGGGTTTTTGATTGCATTCAGTTCAACTTTCTCTTTAGAGACAAGTATCGAGGAACTGGACACAATCTACTATTCAAATGGGGCACCGGATATTGAGGATATGGCGAAAATAGCTAGGATGAACAGGTTGGGTAGCTTTGAAAGATTATCAGAGCAATTGGGAAATTGATCCAGTAGCACTTTATTGTGTTCATTGCAATGTTTGACCCAAATTCATTTTTCTTTATTCCAAACGAGCTTGCACTTTAGTGACCACTTCACATTAAGCGTATTTTGCTCATGATAAAGCTTTTATTTTAGTCACTGTGCCTATTATCGGAGTCGACAAATGGCTGAGCACGCCTCGCTCGTTTTTCTACCCTACAACTACCTGCTCGATCCGAACATGAGAAAGAAGCACAAAATCGACTTAAACAACAGCATCGTCATCTTCGATGAGGCGCACAATATTGTAAGTTTTAAAGAAGCAAACATTTTAAAGTGGGTTTTAGGTGAACGTTTGCGAGGAATCGGCATCGAGTTCGATCACGACAACGCAGATCTCGCAAGCGATCGCTGAATTGAAGGTAATGGCATTAAATCGGTGATAACTTTTTCTTCATTTTCAGAAAGCAATCGAGAAACAACAAGAAGTGGACGAGCTTGTTCGAGCTGAATCGGTAATTTTTGATTGAGAATACTTGTACGATTTTCTTTAGGATGCGATGACGGAGGGCTTCGGCATGCTAGGCGATAAGAAAAAGAAAGACGAGGTGTTGGACACGAAAGTGGCATTCGTTTTGCTACGTAAGTGTGTGAAGTTTAGTAGAAAGGTTTAGTTTAACGAGGCGAAAAACTCGCGGAATTGTAAGGTTATAGTCTATTTATTCAAAAAGGATTTTTTCCTAAAATATAGATAGTTTTTTGAGATTAAAGAGCTAAAGATTTTTAGTTCAAGAAGTCTAAAGGGTATAGACCACTTACTCGAAATAGATGTGGATGAATCAAGAATGGGTCCTTTCTTTAGAGAACCTCTTCAATCTCGAGGATTCGATTGAGGGATTCTATAAGAAGGGCTCAAAAGTACCGAACTGGGACGCCGAACGGACCCCGAAAACGATTCGGGTTAGTTTAAATGGTAAACCGGCAGAAATTACCAAAATCATGATGATAGATTGCTCATAACTCTTCTTCAATAAATCCCACATCTTTCTAATGCTCAACATTTCCAGGAGGTGCGAATTCTTGACGGGATCGCGCTCATCGAGATGCTCGAGGCGGCCGGTTTCTCGGGGAAATCAATCATTTGCACGCAACTCGATAAAATTGTTCTCCTTGTGGCGAATTTACTGGAAGGTGATCATTATTTTATTGATATTAAGATATTTGATGAATTTAGAAGATCAAACCAAACTCGAGAAAGAAGTTGGACGGCAATTGGATGCCGTTGCATCGTTCATCGAATCGGCGCTAGACGGGACGGCTGAGGTGATGGCGCAGGGTGGGTTGCTATGTCGTGTTGGTGAAGATTGACCGAATTGTATTCTGCGTTGAATACAGTTGTTCTTTGGCATTTATCTTGTCTGTTGAACACTTTCGATTCCGGTTCAGGCAAATAGCTTTCACCCCGACGACTCCGGAGTCATTAACAGGGTTGACAGAAAAAGCCAAGGCTATTCAAACCTAAGCCAATGGCTTTCAATTGAACTTGACCTGGAATTTCAACCTTACCGTTGCATTTGGCCTACTTTGGCCAAATGCAACGTCGTTGATTTGGTTTGGCCTGGATTTACAGGAAATTGGGCAAAAGTAAATGACTTAGCTAATTAACAATTTAATTTTCAGGCGGCGATCGAATGGCGAACTTCAAGTTTTGGATAAACGTTGAGAAGCAACACGACGTGACGAAACAAGTTGAAGAGGTGAGTTTACGAGGCAAATCTTCGCTTAACAATTCACACGATACTTCTAGTACTCGCTGCATTGGGGCTGTTTCGACTCGTCGATCACGATGCGCCGGCTAAAGCGACTCGGAGCTCGATCTATCATCCTCACCAGTGGCACGTTGGCGCCGTTGGAGTCGTTTGCGAGCGAGATGTCGCTGTAAGTGGTAAAATTAGTAATTTGGCTTCATGGCTACACTCTGGTGCTCAAAATTGAACCTGGCATAGGGTACATTATAATTCTTTGGCCCACTAATAGCACAGACACTAATAGACCTAGTTTAGAAGCGTTCATTCAAATTTGGCACTCTCAGTTTACCTATAGGTGAATTTGCATTTGCACAAGTCTAATCGATGAATTGAAGTATTCTCTCTAGTGCAGTTTACTGTAAAAGATTTATCTAATGTTTGACTACAGAAACAAAGCTATCAATCACGAACCAAAAGAAACGATTTACTGTAGGAAGTACTCTGGTATGTCTAGTTTATCTTAGATCGCTCGCTTTGCGATCACGATCCCAGATCGCTTATAATTAGCCTTGCTCAAACATGTTACGTCTATAAATCACAAATCCTATTCTAAATAATTTCTTCTTTCCAGAAATGTCGGTGATCTCTTCACGGCCGAACACGCGGCAAAAGCTGAACAAGTAAGCGCGTTTGAATCATTTCTCATGGAAAACTGTTTTATTTTAGGTGCGATGCTTCATTGTGCCCCGGGGACGCGCGGATGCCTATTTTGGGACGAGAGACGACGTGCCGTTGTTGGGAACGTTTGAGAATCGGTAAAAACGTTTACCTACTAACGCTTAGCTATTATATCTGTAAATTTAATTAAGTATATTAAACAAATAAATCCAAGAATTTTTTAGAAACAACCCCGATTACGTGAACTCGATCGGGCGCGCCGTTTTGGACACGGTGAAAGCGGTGCCACAGGGTGTGTTAGTCTTCTTCCCGAGTTTCGTGGTTAGTGCCGTTTTTTGTGGGTTACAACTAGCAAAATCTACATAAGAACACATAGACTTGTTTGTAAAATCAAGCTGACTAAAATGACTTAAGCCTTTAAATTACCAAAAATCACCTATTCAGTACATGGAGGCTTGCCGAAAAATCTGGGAAAAGAGCGGCTGGTTGGCGGAGATCGACGCGGTGAAGAAAGTGGCCATCGAGCCGAAGAATAAGGTTCATTTTGGGATGGATCTTTAAATAAGTTTAATTCAAGCAATTTGATCAAATTTAGATGCAAATGAAAGAACAAACGATGCTCTTCAATCAGCACATCGACTCGGCGAATGGAGCCGTCTTTTTCGCGGTGGCCAAAGGAAAGGTGAGTGCTGGCTTGTGGTTGCTTGAGGGTATAAGTTGTATTGGTATAAGTAGATGCTAGACAAGTAGCTATAGTGTAAGATTAAAGGAAAAGGAGAGAGATAAACATCATTTGATAATGAACAGTGAGCCCAGGCAACGAATTCTAAATCAAATCCTCAATTACATTTGATTTTTCAGCTCTCCGAGGGCATCAACTTCTCGGATCGACACGCACGAGCCGTCATCATCATCGGGATTCCGTTTCCACCACTGTACGACATTCGCATCATGGTCAAGAGGTATTTTTAAGTACAGCTGACAATAATCAATTTTTTTAAGGAAAATCCTGGCGAACAAGTTGAAAGCTTTCACACAGCAACGAACACAAAAGGATTCAGCACTTACAAAAGCCGAGGCGCCAATCGATGATAACACCTGGAATGCCAAATTTTTTGTGCTTAGTTGTGTCTTTTTAGGTACACCATCGAGGCGATGCGCACGGTGAACCAAGCGGTCGGACGCGTGTTACGGCACAAAGACGATTTCGGGATTGTCGTCTTGTTGGATGCGAGGTGATTTTTGTGACTGATCTTGGCCTCTCGGCCTGAAGTTCAAAGCAAGCAGTTTTAAACGCAAACAAATCTTTGTACTTTTAGGTTTCGAAGCATGAATCGCACGTTTTTCCCGGGATGGTTACGATCGGAGAAGAAAATCGTGAACAATTACGACGAGTGGATAAACGACATGAAACACTTCTTTACCGTAAGTTTTACCGTGGCCTGAGCTGGCTTGGTCTTGGTTTTTAGACTTACTAGCTTTTTAGAAAATTCTTAATACCAGATGTTTCAGAAACATGGTTTATCGATGAAATCCTCTGAACAATCATCAGTCTACAAGCACGTTGTCGAGAATCCGAATCGCTTCCGCCGTCGATCGCCCATTAAAATACAACAAGAGCCGCAAAATGAGTGAGTATTGAGTTTGATATTTTAAAAATGGTCAACAGTCAATTTAGCCTCGATTTGGGTCTTTTCTCGTGCGCACCGAAGCCAGTTGAAGAAAAGGCGAAACCGTCGACGAGTCTCGACTCGGCTTTGGTAATTTGAGTTGCGCTTTCTTTTGTAATTCAAATTTTAGAGTCAAGAAGGAGAGCAGAACGTTGGAGCAAGTTCGAGTGAATTGACGCGCATTCGTTTGCTCACTTCCAACAAAAGGCGTATCACCGTTGCAGAGAGCGATCAAAATGGCCAAGCGGTGATTCCGAAGAAACCAGCGGTTCGTTTGAATTCGGTTAGATGCCGGGGAAATTGGATATTTTGAAATGATCAGTGAAAAATATTCACTGAATATTTTGAAACATTTCTTTTTTTACTTGTCAAAGTTGATCCGATCGTGAAATTTCAATCTTCTCTATAGTTAGCAACGCGCCAATTCTCCAGCAACTATTTCGCCGATGAAGAAACGGTGAAAACGATTCAGGTTTTTATTTTTTTAATTGATTTTAACGTGTTTCCTTTTTTTCAGAAACCCAATCCGGCTCGTTTACACTCGGCGATCAAATTGACGAGTGGCGATGAGACGGCGAACGACAAACCCATGGCTTCGAGCTCTGCAGTCCAAGCATCAACAGTGCAAATGAAAGTTCATCCGCTCGTCAAGCAGTTCACGAAAATGGTAGGTTTGGCATTTTTGCGTCATTATTTTGAGCAAAATGATGACGTTTTGCTTTTATTGTATTTAAAACAAAATGGAGAACCACTCGGCTTTAGTTTGACATATAAGAATGCAATTTGGTACTAGTTTTAGCAATAAGCAATATATTTTCCAAATTATAGTCGCTAGATATATTCAAAGCTTGACATGTCAACTTTAGGTGAAAGAACGCGGGCTGAAAGAAGAATTTCAACGTCGCCTGCTGGCCGCAAAGAGGATCCCATCAGAAGTTGTGCGCGCCGCTTACGAGGTTTTCCTGCCCACGAATCGCGATCTCTATTCAGGTACCGATTTAAAATATTTCACTAGCTCAGGGGATAAATAGTACGAGTAAAATGACAAAAATAAGCCCAAAAAAAGGTTAAACTTTACGGAGATTGGCGCTTTATATGCTCTAAAAAATCACAGTTAACGGAAAACTGCAAAATTCAAAAGGACAAATGCTAAAAGATTTTAGGCAACAAAGAAGTCATTTAATTTTTCTTTCCAGCTTGCAAAGTCGCTTTCCAACACATGAACAACGATTCGATCGAGGCGACCGATTGGGAGAAAATCGAGAAGGAAAAAATGAGACGCTAGACGAAGATTTAATTTGATTTTTTAATTGATTTAGATTTATTTCCTATATTTTTAATACGTTATTTTTGTTTTGCGCTTTTACGGGTCTCTTTATGTGCAATCTTATGTAATGTGTTTTCTTGTTGTCATTTTTCTCATTTTTCTGTCATTATTATTGAGTTATTTAATAGAGGGACTTTATAATAAATTTTATCTCCGACAAGTTTTCATCAAACCCGTCAAACGCGGAAAATCCATGTGTTACCGCCATTTCCCATTTCGAAGACTACGGTAGTTCGTGCTTGCTAAAGCGTGACCCTGCAGAAAGTGCCGAGAAAAGAATTTCATTTGGCGAGAAAAATCTTTTCATTTGAAATCTATGATTTTAATAAATTTCCAGTGTTTTTTGCTGTAATTCTTTGCAATTCTTCATTTTGGCGTAAACCTATGCTAAAACGTTGGCTTTTTGATGGATTTTTGAGATTAAAAGCGGCAAACTTGCTAAAAAACGATGTTTTGAAAGACAAAAATGTCAGATTATTGATTTTTTGACCTAAAAAGCTTGAAAGTAGCTGGAGTTCTGGCTTTTTTGAAGGTTATTGTGAAGATTTCGAGCCTTTTAGAAAAGTTATCATCGAAAATACGCGTCTCAAGCAAAATTACGGCTTTAAAGGGGTTGGCGAAGACGAATTCTATTAGGTTTTATAAGTTTCATGTAAATTTAGACTGTCAATGACATTTTCTATGGTGACCATTCTGAAATTCTGAAAAGCTAATCTTTCATGTTTTAGAGCCATTTCTGCAAGTTTCAGGCTATGTATAATGTGTCTTTTCCCTCATTTTGTACGTTTCAAGTTCTACATTGAAGGTTATCTTTTTTTTTCAGCTAATTCTTCACGATGCGCGTCAAAAAGAAGGGTTCTACCGGTTCAGCGACGAACTACATCTCGCGAACGAAGGCGCTGAAGAAATTGCAGCTCTCGTTGAAGGACTTCCGTCGCTTATGCATCCTTAAGGGCATCCATCCGCACGAGCCGTTGCATAAGAAAAAGGTTCGTGTTTCATGTGCTTTGTGTTCTAAGGATTCTGAGCAGCAGCCTCAATAAGCAGCGTTGATTATGGACATCTTAGACTTAAAAATTTTGTTGGGAAATCAAAAGATTCTGATCAGCAGCTTTGTTATGCATTCCAGCATCTAGTTTAGTAGAATATCTTCAACTACTTCAAAGACTTTTGTTAGAAAAGCTAAAATTTTCATATCCCTTACAGCCATTTAGAACCTTAAAAATTCTTATTGTCCTGTTACTTGCTAGCAACTCAAATTCCATTTAAATTCTGGCTTTTTTATTGAGTTGGAAACTGTGAAATGGCGCTGACTTTCAAAGAAACTTCTATAACATCGAGTAGTCTTTATCAAATGACACGCAGGTAGTATCATTAGAAAGGTCGCTTATTTCTCTACAAAATCATATTTGAAATCTTGGGTTGGGGACTATGACTCGGCGCTGAAAACCAAAAAAAATGTCTAAAACTTCTATTCGACTTCGTCAAATAATATGCGTTTGATATCAGTAGAATGGTTAACTAATTCTCTACAAAACGACATTTAAAAGAAAATTCAAACAGCGCCTCCGCTCAAGAAAAAGCCATTTTTTCACAAAAACTACAAACTGTTATCTAGAAAAAACAATTGGTGGGATCTTCCTGCAAATTTGGCAACTTAAGTAATTGAATGTGCTCTATCTTTTTTATATAAACACCAAAGAAGATTTATGTGAAAGAAACTGTTCAAATGATGAGTCGGGCTCTTTGCCATTTTGACTAGCTGTGTTTGGGAGTCCATAAACTCGACGAAAGAAAAGCTTTGTGGAATCTCTCAAAAGTCATTTTGTAGAGAAATAGTGGATCCTTTTGATGAAACCAAACGTATATTTAAAGAAGGCTTTATGTGTGCAAAAAGTCCCTTTAAAGTTTGGCGCCGAGTCATAGTCCCCAACCCAATAGAACTCAGAAAGTGCCCCATTCAATAAAAGATAAATTTTTTTTCAGAAAATCTATAAATCGTCATTTAGAGAAAATGACTGATGAGATGACTACAAAAATTTGCTACTTATGTAATTAAATGTGCTTTAACTTTTTTTGTTTTGACATCAAGTTAAGTTTATGTGTAAGGAACGAGTCAAACGACGAATCGGACTCCTTGTCATTTTGACTGGTTGTGTTTTAGGAACCCATAAAATCCACAAAACAAAAGCTTATCGGAATCTCGCAAAAGCCATTTTGTAGAGCAATGGTAGACCTTTTTTATTATACAAACAATGGATTATATGAAGCTTTTGTACGTTTCAGAAAAATTTTTGAAAGTCGGTGCCATTTCATACTCCAACCCAATAGTACAATAAGATTTCACAAGCAGCAATTAAGTAAGGGTAAAACGCTCGTTTACACATCCGTTAAAGATCCTAATTTTTTTGACTTCAGGTGAACAAGGGAAGCCACGAGAACAAAGTTTGGTACTACATCAAGGACATTCACTTCCTCACGCAAGAGCCGATCATCAACAAATTGCGGGAATACAAGGTTTGTTGGTTATACGTCAAGTTACGTGAGAAGATTTAGACGTTGAGTGAATACAATTTGTATATATAATGAAACGCTAAATTTCTCATTTTAGATTTTCCTCCGCAAACTCAACCACTTCAAGGCGAAACAAGAGGATGACAAAGTGAAGAAATTGTACGAGAATCAACAGGAAATATCGCTGGATCGAATCGTGAAAGAGAGGTGCGCAACTGTTTATACAATAGTAATCACTTCGTTATGGCTGCCTATTAACTGCTTCAGTAAACATTCAGCTCTTCAATTAGCTAATTTGAAAGTCAGCTATGCTGAATGAGTTTCTGGGTTTCAGCGTCAAGAATCGCAAAGTTTTCAAGTAACGTTCAAATGTGGCTGTATAGCGATTAATTTAAACACTGGTTGATTCGGCATTCAAATTCATAGCATCATGTGCTTTAAGATTTTAAAGATAAATCTCCTAGATAATCGTTTAACTGGGTCTAATTTTACGCTATAATCTTTTCCATTTTCAGGTATCCAACCTTCGGTTCGGCTCTTCGTGATCTCGACGACGCGTTGTGTATGGCGTTCCTCTTCGCGACGTTCCCTCGCACCAAGTACCTCCGCTCAAATGTGATCACCGAGTGCAAACGGCTTTCAACCGAATTCCTTCACTACGTCATCGAGTCGCACTCGCTCACGAATGTCTTTGTCTCGATCAAAGGAATCTACTATCAAGCGATGGTTGGCGGCGAGAAAGTCACCTGGATCGTGCCGCACGAGCGAGGCTTGGGTCACATTACCGACGTCGACTTCTCCGTAATGGCCACTTTTGCCGAGTTCTACGTGTCGATGCTTGGTTTCGTCAACTATAAACTTTACCAAACGCTTGGTTTATACTATCCACCAAGGATCGAGACGGGCACCGTGCAAGAGGAACAACAGCAACAACAAAGTGACGAAGAAAAGGAAAAAGTCTACTCGTTGTGTCGTCCAATTGCTCGCTCACGACAACAAGAGCAAGACGAGGAAATGGAAATGTTCGAGGACGGGGACAACGAGCTGGCCGAGAAATTGAAGGAGGCGAAAAAGTTGAAGACACTCTTCCAAGGCTGCAACTTCTTCGTGAACCGCGAGTGCCCGAAGGAAGCACTCGCGTTGATCGTCCGGAATTGCGGTGGGAAAGTGACTTGGGAGGGCGCGCCGTTCGAGTTGCCGGCGAGCTCGATCACTCATCACATCATCGATCGTCCCGTTGCGAACTTTGATCTCAATCGTGTCTACATTCAACCGCAATGGGTGTTCGATTGTCTGAATGCTCGACGCAAGCTACCCACGCAACAGTACTTGCCCGGCCAAGAATTACCACCACATTTCAGCCCGTTCATCAAGGAGAAACCCGGTGACTACGTGCCAATTGAACGCATTGAAGAGTTGCGAAGTCTTGGAAAAGACACCGCTGCAATCGAGCCAGAAAGAGCCCCCACAACGAGTGCAACAAAGAAGCCAAAGATGGCGCAAGAGGAGAAAAAAGGGAATGTCGGTGGAAACGGGCAAAATGCACAAGAAAAACGCGCAAAAGGAGATCAACAAAAAGGGCGAAGAAAGAAAGATACGCGAATTGATGATCAAGAAGAAACATAAACGAGTGTACGACAAGCTGACAAAAGGAATCAAGCGGCATCGGGGCGAGGCAAAGAAGTTGGCCGAGAAGCGCCAAAAGTTGGACAAACAGAAAGCTTGATCGAAATTTGGTTGTTTTTATTCTCGTTGTTGAGTTTTAAGTTTAAAAAATTGTTCCTCTTTGTTGTCAATGGTCGTTAGTGATTATTGTTGTTGTTGTTTTTTATAAATACAATTGTTTTCATCCCAGAAAATGCATTAAAGGAAAGTGGGATCGACAAAGAATTTTTTGGAAATGTGTCGGATTTTTGTAGTGGCGATTGAGAAAAAAATCGGTACACTCTGATAGTTGAATTTCGTGATGTTTAATATGTTTTACACATTTTCAGACTCAGTTAGATGAGATATCTCTAACTTCAGGATTGGTTAGATTACGTTTTTAATTGTTAAGGATTTTAAAACTATTCCAATAAGCTTTAGCCGTGAAATCATCTTCCAGTCAAAGTCTGTCAGCGCTAAAAGCAAACAGATTTTTTATAAGTATTGCCTCAAAAAAGCTTTACTTCATCCCGACATGAGAAAACTAGTTTGGCTCCATCAACTGCCTCGATTTGCCCGCCATCGTGCTTATCTGAAAAAAGAGAAATGAAATATTCCGACTCGAGCTTATTTATACTTCACAAAACCGCCATAACAATTTACACCTTTGCCTTGTTTGTGCTGCGGCTGGGAGTTTTCGTTCTGTGTCTCCGGGTTTCCGTTGTCGTTCTGAAAATTTAGTTTGGCTTAGACAGCTCAAATTTTCATATTACGCGCCAGTGACTCATTCTTAAATCCATTTTGCTAATTTTCAAAGTTATTGAAACGTAACGTGATTCTTTGATTTTTAGCCTTTTGCCAGACAAACACGCAGAGGAATTTCAGAAAAAATGGGGCAATTCACTCGAAAGCAGGTGGAAAATTTTTGGGAAAATATCGAGAAACAACTCGGCCATTGATTTCATTTTCCCCAAATTTCCCAACGATGTCCTGCAATAATCTCACCCTCCACGTTCACATTTTCATCGATCCGAAGCGTTTGGTCGAGAATTGGCAACAAATTACGATGCTTTTCTTCTACTCGATCGAGATTTTCCTCTTGGCCGTCAGCTTAATCATTTTACCGCTTTCGTGCAAAATTTTGCACACACTGAAGGTGAGTCGGCTCTCTTGAAGTACAAGGATTACGGTAGCTGAATCAATTCATTAGCGCAAGATTTTTTTCCAAGTTCGCAAAACTAACTCAGGATCGAATCAAGTGCTCTTGATCAATTCATTTGCGCAATAGCTTTTAATTTCGTAAAAAATCACACTGTTCAAGTAGGACAGGCTAGATTGATGGAAAGAAACAGAAAAAAAGGGTGCTGGCTCTAGATCTTAGGTCAAGTCAGGTCTTTGTCCGAATCAGAAGCAAAGTAAGGCTATAGTTGAGCTCAGAATGAAGTCAAATTACAGACACCTCAATCAAAATCTGTTCAGAAGCCAGGTCTAGGCTTCTAGAGGATTCGTGGAATGTTTTATGTCTTGGACCTATAAAGCCAGGACATATTGCCATCAGTCTCCTGAAAAAAACCTGTGGATCAAGCCAGACTAGAACAAGCCTGAGCTTGAAGCCTCCGAATCAAGATTTCAAAGTTTGATTTGAGCTCTTCCGATCGACCCTAAACCTGTAGGACGACCGTAAATCAATTCTGAGAATATTTCTGAGGCTAACGTTGTTCTAAAGCTGACTAGAAGTCCCAGCCGCGGGGTCAGAATCGGCTTCTCGTCTGATCTAGTTTTGGAAAACGCTGCACTCACTTTTTATGACTTATTTTTTAAAATGGTTGAATCAATTTACAAACTAAATTCATCAGGTAGCTTGGAAGAGAGAGATCATCCAGTCTTCGTCACGTTAAAATCGATTTTCCTGAAAGGAGAGTTTCGACCACATTAGTCTATAAAGCTTGACTCGGCTACCGTAGCCCTGCGTATTGCTTTACAGTAGTCCAAATATCTGGCTACAGTAGTCCAAATAGCTGGCTACAGTAGTCCAAATAGCTGGCTACAGTAGTCCAAATAGCTGGCTACAGTAGTCCAAATAGCTGGCTACAGTAGTCCAAATAGCTGGCTACAGTAGTCCAAATAGCTGGCTACAGTAGTCAAAATAGCTGGCTACCTGGTTAGAGAAAAGAAATATCTACAAAGATCAAAGCTACATTAGAAGCAGACCGGGTTACGGTTGCTTTAAAGTGCCTAACCGAATCGATTTTTGAACATTTCAACTCGAAATAAGCCTAATCCAGAAGTGCCCCAGAAACGGTGCGTTTACACCGATCGGCCATTCGAAAAAAAGACCCAATTCTTTGAGCTTTTCCACTGGAATCTCGTGATGATCTACATTTTGGCGTTTGGTCCATACGAGTTCTCGATAATCTCTCGTTACATTTTAATCCTCTACACGATTGGCGTCATTGGACCCGGGGATTTCGGTGAGCTCAGTTTTCATCGACTCAAAATCTCTTTGATCTCCAGATTTGTTATCCTGTGATTTCGGTGCCCTCGCAGCGAGCACTTTCCGCATTTTCTATATGTCATTGGCTGTCGGTGAGTTGCTAAAGAAGTACTTTCGTTTAGAAACAGAAAAGTGCCTAGACCCGCGAAAAGTCAGAAAGCAAGCATGGATCTGATCGGACTTTGGTCAGGACCTGACCGGAGTCCGATCAGGTCCTGACGACCGGAGTCCGATCTAAGCCATAAGTCAAGCTAAAGCCAAGGCTCCTCGGCCTAGAATCCTTCAGCTTTACTGTCGGATCTTAGCGAAAGGCTTAGCTTTGGCTTGGCTTGGCTTGGCTTTGGCTTTGGTTTTGGCTTGGCTTTGGCTTGGTTTTGGCTTTGGTTTTGGCTTGGCTTGGCTTGAAAAATTGACTCTTTTGTTAACCCTGGTTGCTAGGGAAGGGTACTAGATTGCTGTGGGCTTTCGAAACGAGATCTAGCCCATCGAAAGAAAATCGAACGGACAATTCGAATCTGTAATCAAAATCTTTTGAATAGCTCGTAAAAAAAAGTTTTTGCTCGACAAGCTTGGGTTTAATTTACGCTTGTCATTTGACAGCGATCATCGTCTAGTGGATAGTGTGCTTGTTTCTAAAAATGAATGGATTTCCGTGTGTTTAATTCGACTCCCACTTGGCCAACAAGCAACAGGCCAACTTTTTCCTAAAGATGTTTTTGTTTTTTTCACAAATTCGACAATTTTGTTTACATTTGAAACAAGATGAAATGGTGATTTCAAGCTATAAAGGAACTATAAAGGAACTATAAAGGAACTATAAAGGAAATTTAAAGGAATTAAAGCTATTAAAGTATTTGATTTAAAATTGTTGAAAGAAAATGATAAAGAAAATGATAAAGAAATGAAAAGAAAAGAAAAGAAATGAAAAGAAATGATAAAGAAAAGAAAAGAAAAGAAAAAACAATTAATTGAGTTGTAATTGGAAGATAAAAGAATGAGAGGTAAAAAGGGTGAAATAAAGGAAAATCTTCAGCTAAACTTTAACTAAACTTCAGCTAAACCTCAGCTAATCTTCAGCCAATCTTCAACTAAACTTTAACTAAACTTCAGCTAAACTTAATCATGATTCTTTCCAGCAGCTCTCGGCGGTTTAAGTCTCGAGCGTTCCCTGGCCACTCTCTACATTTCGGATTATGAAACCCGTCCTCGGCGTTATATTCCGATCATTTCCACTCTAATCTCCGCGTTGATTGCCTTTTTTTTCACCGTCCTTATCATGATCAGTTTGTTTTTAATAGCATTTCTAAAGTTAGAGTTAGAGTTGAAGGTTAGAGTCTAATTTTATAAGTGAAATCTATTTCCTAACAGGTCCTTGGATGTCACTCTGATAACTGAGTATCTTTTGGTATTAGAAGAGTTTGATCCAATATTCAGGCATTCTGGATATCATCTTGATAACTGAGTATCTTGAATACTATGATATATTAGAGAACTTTAAGATGATATTCATTCAATCTGGATGTCACCCCGATAACTGAGTATCTTTTGGTATTAGAGAAGTTCGATATAATATTCAGGCATTCTGGATGTCACCTTGATAACTGAATATCTTGAATACTATGATATATTAGAGAACTTTAAGATGATATTCATTCAATCTGGATGTCACCCCGATAACTGAATATCTTTTGGTATTAGAGAAGTTCGATATAATATTCAGGCATTCTGGATGTCACCTTGATAACTGAATATCTTGAATACTATGCTATATTAGAAAATTTTGATATGATATTCTTCTATCCTGGATGTCACTAAAATTATTCCGAATTTAAAAATCAACCCTCACATATCTATTTTTAAACTAAGTTACCGTAAGTCAAGAGTTCAAGGGTTTTACTTAGCCAGGAGTCTGAGGCCTTACCCGTTCAGCAAAAGCACCTTACTCTTGATGTTCAGCAAAAGCAAGGCGACCATTCCTACTATAATTCGGCTTTCTTTTTAAGCTTAAAAGCCATTTCAAGTAGCCTGAGATGAAGTGGAAATCAGAGAATAATACAATAGAATAATAGAAGACTAAATTCGATTCTCTAAGCAATAAATAATCGAAGCTATAAATTCTTGGAGCTATAAATGATCGAAGCTATAAACTCTCTAAGCTATCAATAATCGAAGCTATAAACTCTCTAAGCTATAAACTCTCTAAGCAATAAACTCTCTAAGCTATGAACTCTCTAAGCTATCAATAATCGAAGCTATCAATAATCGAAGCTATAAACTCTCTAAGCAATAAATAAAGCTCTCTCTTTAGCTTATAAAACTTTTAAGATTAGACCAAAAAAAAGGTAAAAGCGATAAAAAATTGAATTTTTTTGACTTGAAATGCACAATTTTTTGGTTTTAATTTAAGCTAGATTCGTTGGCTTTAATTTGAAGGGAATCGATCTTTTCCTGTCTTGAATTTGATAACTTTAATTCGTAGATCGTCTGACTTTCCTCCATGGTGTCCTCATGGCAATCATCGGCAATGTGCTACTATTTTTGGTTTATAAAAAAGGGTTTTCTTTTAAAATGATATTAAGTATTTCAGTATTTCTATATGATTTTCAAAATAAATGTGACAATGCAAAATCGAATCGAAACAATTGATGCAAATGTTTATTCGTTGTCAAAGAGATTTCAGTTGGGAGAGAATGTCATGGCGTTAAAGGTTGGCTTTTCAGGGGTTTGCTTTTTGCTTTACTTTATGTACTTTCTGTACTTTGTGTACTTTGTGTACGTTGTGTACTTTGTGTACGTTGTGTACTTTCTGTACTTTGTGTACTTTCTGTACTTTGTGTACTTTGTGTACTTTGTGTACGTTGTGTACTTTCTGTACTTTGTATAATTTTTAACTCATTCAATTGCTGACTTACTGCTGCTAGCTGCTGCTCATTCAATTGCTGACTTGCTGCTGCTAGCTGCTGCTCATTCAATTGCTGACTTACTGTTGCTAGCTGCTGCTCATTCAATTGCTGACTTGCTGCTGCTAGCTGCTGCTCATTCAATTGCTGACTTACTGTTGCTAGCTGCTGCTCATTCAATTGCTGACTTGCTGCTGCTAGCTGCTGCTCATTCAATTGCTGACTTACTGCTGCTAACTGCTGGCTGAAATGCTGGAATAAGCTGAGGAAAGGAAAAGATTTTGGTGTAATAGAAAGAATGTGTTTACAAGTTTGAAATCTCATTAGATAAAGGCTTAAAAAGATTAGTCAATTTGTGGGAAATCTTTTACAGTTTGCAAAGCTACAGTATGCTAATGGTTAGAGAGAAAATGTCGAACAAAATGGCTAGTATTTAGAGATATTTAGTTACAATTATATAGCTGTACAATTACTGTACAAAAGCTACAGTAAACAGCAGTGAGATTGAGCTAACTGTACGGGAAGAGATAGAGAGAGAGAGAGAGAGATAGATAGAGAGATAGATAGAGAGATAGATAGATAGATAGACTTTTTGGAAAGCTTTTTTGGAAAACCTTTAAATTAACCTTTATTCTATGAATAAACGGGGGAAAAACTCTGGAACTTTTAGGTCGTTTTCACCTTCATCATCACTTGTTTCGCTTTCAATTTCCTTATCGCTTTATGTTTTTTGACAGCCGAAACTCGAGCCGATCCAAACGCTTTCATTGCCTATTTTTTCTACGAAATCGCTGATTTACTCATTGCTGTGTAAGTTGAAAGAAAAATTAGAAACTGCTTTTTGCAATCAAAGTAATTCGATAAAGATTCGAGATTCTCTAAAGATTCGAGCTTCGAGCTCCGAGCTCCGAGCTTCAAGATTCGATAAAGATTTATTAAAAGTTAAAGTTTTCAAAAACGATTTCCTTATCTTTTAGGCGATGGGGAAATTTAGATTTGTCATTTTACGATTGGCTAAACTTTTTTCCAAGCACTGAATCAGGGGCTTATTTTAAATGCACTCCCGCTAATCTAGCCTTGATTTAACTTTACAACTACCCGGCTACACGAAAATAGGCATGCTTTAGAAAATGTGTTAGTTTTCTTTAACTTTCTTCAACTTTCAGCTACGGTGTCGTGGTGATCGTTTTACCCGTTTACACGTGTCACGAGATTCGCTACGTTTTCATCAAATTGGTGAAAAGTTGGTGAGTTCCTGGGAAAGCCTGGTTGAAATGGTTTACGTTAACTAGTTGAGGGGCTGGCTTTAAGCCAAACCTAACACATAACTCTGCAAAAATTTGGCTTTACTTAGTTCTGAGCTTACTCTAAGCTTGCCTTGACGCTTGGCTTGACGCTTGGCTTGATACTTGGCTTGACCCTGACAAAGTCTTGCCTAGTTTAGCCTCGGCTGATCTCTAGTAAAGACTTTAACGTAGCCTGGCTAGCTGGCATGGCTCTAAAGCGGAAATCGATGATCGATCAATCTTGCAGAAAGAAAGGGTAGCCTGATTCTGATCCGGACTAGCTTTGGCTCAGCTCTGGCTCAGTTCTGATTCAGTCTAGCTTGGCCAGCTTGACCAGCTTGGCCAGCTTGACCAGCTTGGCCAGCTTGGCCAGCTTGACCAGCTTGGCCAGCTTGACCAGCTTGGCCAGCTTGACCAGCTTGGCCAGCTTGACCAGCTTGGCCAGCTTGACCAGCTTGGCCAGCTTGACCAGCTTGGCCAGCTTGACCAGCTTGGCCAGCTTGACCAGCTTGGCCAGCTTGACCAGCTTGGCCAGCTTGACCAGCTTGGCCAGCTTGACCAGCTTGGCCAGCTTGACCAGCTTGGCCAGCTTGACCAGCTTGGCCAGCTTGACCAGCTTGGCCAGCTTGACCAGCTTGGCCAGCTTGACCAGCTTGGCCAGCTTGACCAGCTTGGCCAGCTTGACCAGCTTGGCCAGCTTGACCAGCTTGGCCAGCTTGGCCTTAGTAAGGCAAAGTCTGACCTTTTTAAACAAGTCTGCCAAGGAATCGATCCCAAACTGAAGTCTGGAATCACTTTGAGTCTAGTTGGATCTTATAGAATCGGCGACGAAGATCTACAAGACTCAAAGCCATTCCGAACTTCAGGTCATTCCCTTGTGAGCTAAATTTTAGACATTTCAAGACAACCATCTTTTTAAGAAAACCACCCTATCCCTCTTTTATCATTTCCCAATCGAAGCACTATCAATTTCCAGGCGAATCACCGATCTGCTCCTCAAATGCGCCCGTCCGCATCGTCGTGTCCGTGTCCGTGTCCGTGTCTCTACCTCAGTTTCTGTTGTCTCCACAACGCAACCCGATCAGCCTGATCATCCGGATTTTGTAATTGGCCGTTTGGGTGACACCGTCTATCTTGGTGCCACCCAGGAGGATTATTTTCGACAAATTCGAACCGTTTGGTGATCGGGGAAAGGGGGGGATTGGTGGATAACGGATCAACCCAATCAACCCAATCATCCGCTTTTTGTGATCAGCTGTTCTTAGTGACGATGTCTATCGTTGTGCCACCCAGGAAGTCTATTGTCGACAAATTTGAACCGTTTGGTGATCGGGGAAGTGAGGAAATTGGTGGCTAACGGATCAACCCAATCAACCCAATGAGTTTTTGTGATCGACCGTTTCGAGTGACGCTGTCTATCGTTGTGCCACCCAGGAAAACTATTTTCGACAAATTTGAACCGTTTGGTGACCAGGAAAGCAAGGAAATCGCTGGCTAACGGATATTGCTCTTAAAGCTTTGTGTAACTGCCTTCACAACACTGCCTTCGACTTTTTGAAATGTATTCTAATAAATGTTTTTGTTGCCAAGTTATCTAGCAATCAAGTGTCCTTTGTGCTCTCATAAACGCACCATTTCTGTCGCACTCAATTCATCCGATTTTTGTACCTCGAAAACCAGAAGATTCTCGTTTATAGCACAAAGTACACGCTTAGAATACACAAAAACACAGCATCTGGTGCACTTGGTTTCTTAATTACAGTTACAAATTGAAAGCAAAACAAATTAAAAGCAAAGCAAAAAAGAATCTGCTGTGGCCGGGGTCGAACCCAGCCACCGTGAACCTCAGCTCGCCTCAGAGTCAAACACACTAACCACTCGGCCACATCACCGCGGTGAATTTCCAAAATCGTTTTTTGAAAAAATTCTTTTTTTAAGAATATTCTGTGACATCCATAATCGAAAAAAAAATCAATATTTGCATCGATTTTTCACGGAAAAATGAAGAAAAATGAGAAGGAAAGGGAAATTCGTTGTCGTCATGGTGATCGCGAGTCTTCTTGCCGTGAAATGCTTTCTCACAAAAGCTTGTAAACTACTCTCAAACTTCACAAAGATTTGCCTACTCTTTTCCCGACAAACACGAAGCAGGTGCCAATTTGTGGCTGAAAAGTACAGGTTTGAGAGGTTGTTTTGGAAAATTTTGCTTTTTCAATAACATTTTAAGAGGGGAAAGGGGAGTGGGACAAATGCGAGCTTTTTTTGCGCACCTTTTTTTTTTGCTGGAAAAGGCCTTAGGAAAGGTCGTAGAGCTTCGAAAATGTTTTCATGGCAGGGAATCGTATGCGTAGATTCAGAATTTCGACAAATCAGGGGAGTGGGACAAATGCGACCTTTTTTTGCGCACCCGGACATTTGCGCATCTTTGCCCATTAGCGACTTTCCGCACCTTGCCCATTAGCGCACCTTTTTTCGCGTTTTAAAAAAGCTCTAAAAAGCTAATATTAACCAATTACCAATTTCTATTCCAAATGTTGTTTTTCTAGGTAATTCAAAGGTTTTCTGGGTTTTTCTAGGTGTCGAATTCATAAATTTTGATATATCAGAGCTTGTGGAGAACCAATTTGAAAGACAAAGAGAAAGACAAAACGGCTAGGTCAAATTACAGAAAATTGTTGATTGATGATTTTTCTCTTTCTATAACTCCGTCCGTTTATTTCCACAAGCTCTGATATATCAAAATTTCGACCTCTTCTCTATGTGTATCCCTTCTGCTATCACACTGGAAGAGCGCGCACTTTGAAGCGCCGAAACTCGGCTTAAAACGCCTTTTCCTAAGCGCTCGTTGTGTTTTTCGGAATCTACGCATAAAACTACCCTAGAAAAAGTGGTTTTGAAGAATAAAAAAAGTGAGCCTACCCCGCCCGCCAACTGCCTTAGTATCCACATTGTTTCACTTTTTAAAAAAAGCTCTAAAAAGCTAATATTAACAAATTTCTATTCCAAATGTTGTTTTTCTATTTTTCTAGGTAATTTGAGGGCGTAGAATCGAAATTTTGATATATCAGAGCTTGTGGAGAACCAATTTGAAAGACAAAGAGAAAGACAAAAACGGCTAGATCAAAATAAAGAAAATTGTCGATTGATGATTTTTCTCTTTGTATAACTCCGTCCGTTTATTTCCACAAGCTCTGATATATCAAAATTTCGATTTTACGCCCTCAAATTACCTGAAAAATAGAAAAATCGAAAAAGAACTTTGGAATAGAAATTGGTTAATTGGAATAGCTTTTTAGAGCTTTTTAGAGCTTAGAGCTTTTTTTAAAACGCGAAAAAAAGGTGCGCTAATGGGCAAGGTGCGGAAAAAGGCTTAGGCTTAGGCTTAGGTAAATTAGAAACTTTAGTAATTAGAGGCTATTAAAGGCTATTAAAGAGGCTTAGAGGCTATTAAATCATCGACTTCTACAAGAGTTTATTAGATAACTAAAAAGTTTAACTAAAACTAAAGTTTAACTAAAAGATAACATTTTACTCTTCAGCCTAAGCCTAAGCCGGTGCGCACAAAAAAAGCCAAAAAAAAAAAGCTCGCATTTGTCCCACTCCCGGGGAAAGTTTCCTAAGGAAAAGCTCATTTTTTTCTTTTGCGAAATTTCTTTTAAAATATTATGGATTTAATGAGAAATGAGAAGAAATTTATAAAAAAGAAACTAATTAAATATTATTTATTCTATTAATTTAATTGTTTTTCTTTTAAAAAAAAGTTTATAAAAAAAATCAAAAAAAAACTACCAAAAATTAGAAACCATTTTTGCTTATAAAAAAGCTTTAAATTAATGTGTGACATCCAGAATTGCTTATAAAAAAGAAAACAATACGATAGCTTTCTTGAGAGACGAGATTTCTGAGAGAGGAGATGACAGAGACAAATTTTGATGACAGAAAGTCGAGAATGGTATGGTTGGCTGAAGAAAATGAAGAGTTTGTCTAAATTAAAACAAATGCTGAAAGATTATAGCTTGTGATGAGCGATCATCAACTTCCGACAGATCTCTGGGAATCGCATGGACGTCCAGCGCTGGCCGAACTCTTTGCCTCGAGTGTCTACTCGTTTTTGGGTAGAGCTCTGCTTTAGCTAGGCTTTTAGCTTGCATTTCAGCTTCATTTCAGTTCATTTTCTTTCATTTCATCTTCAGTTTTAGCTTGCACACTGTAAATGACGAGTTCAACGTTCAACAACGCTTCCACAAACAATAACGATTTCTTTTTTCAGTTCTACTCTCATCCACGCCCACCTCACTGTCAACATTTGTGATTTTTGATGGAATCGCGCTCAGTGTTTCCATGTTTTCCGTTCTTCGAATCAGTGGAGCGCACTTGAATCCAGGTAGACAGAAAGCCTCAAAAAAAGGCCTTAAGTCTAGTTAGGGTGCTGGCTTGGTTGATCTAAGTAGCCTGGATTTGTTAGAGGCTTGGTTGACCTAAGTAGCCTGGAGCTTGGCCTGGACTGGTTTCTGGCTATCTGGCTTGGTTTTAATCGAAAGCCAAATTCAGACCAAGGCAAGGTAATAGGAAAACCAGATTAGGCTCAAGATCAAACAATAAGCCGATTTTGTTAGGCTTTTTAGACTGCAACTGTCTTCTAGAGATTTAGAGAAGCTAGAGAACCAGCTAGAGAATCAGCTAGAGAATCAGCTAGAGAACCAGCTAGGGAATGAGATAGAGAATCAGCTAGAGAATCAGCTAGAGAATCAGCTAGGGAATGAGATAGAGAATCAGCTAGAGAATGAGATAGAGAATCAGCTAGAGAATGAGATAGGGAATCAGCTAGAGAATGAGATAGAGAATCAGCTAGAGAATCAGCTAGAGAACCAGCTAAAGAACCAGCTAAAGAATCAGCTAGAGAACCAACTAGAGAGTCAGCTAGAGAATCAGAGTTTGGCTTCTTCGTAGCTTTGAGACAGCTTAAATCTGCTAGACTCATAAGACTAGCTGGCCTACACTTGAAAGCATTCTTCGATTCGATCGCCAGCCTAGATGATTGGAGGATTTTGGAGTCAAGCTCAGGTCAATGCTAGCAATAAAGTCAGGTTTTGAGTTAGAACAAGGATTCTAGCCTGGCTTTTGGCTAGTTTGTAGGCCACCAGATCACGCTAAAGTTAGCAATAAATGTAGAGGAAAGCCTGAGTCAACGTCCTGATAAGGACAAGATCATAGTTTCCCAGCAAAGTGATGTTAGATCCTGGTTTCCCAGCAAAATGGTCAGATCCTGGTTCCCCAGCAAAGTGATGTTACAGCTGTAAAATTAAAACAGCTGCAAAATCAGATGAAGCAGGTTCAGTCAAGGGTTTGATCTGCTCAAAATGAATCTCAGCGATCTCTCTGGCCTACACGATTTGCGGGAAAATGTCCGTGATCTCACTCGTCTCCTACACGATTTCCCAATTTTTTGGCGCTTTTTTTGGTGAGCTTAATTGAATTGAATTGATTGAATTGATTGAATTGATTGAATTGATTGAATTGATTGAATATTCGTTCTTCTTTCTATTTAAAGCTTTTAGGTACAGCACTTGGATGTTGGGTGATGACAGCGGATCGTTATGAAGACACATTTATTGGAAATTCGTTGACTGCAGAGGATTACAATCCGCAAATCAATCGATTCAAGGTATTAAAATGAACGCGACTCTTGCAAAGTCTTTCTAGTGAAAGCACTTTGTTTAAGTTTAAATCCGGGTTAGGTGACTGTTCACAGCAAATATCAAGATCAAATCCGACTAGGGCCTAAGAGTAAGTTTTTTGGGTGAATAGCGATCTTCTAATCGATTTCTAGGGTCAGTAAATCAAGCTAAACCAAGTCTTACAGGAGTACAGTAGTTTATCTAGGATTATAGCTTTTTCTAGAGCTTCTGGTTTCTTACTTTTGTTGACCAAGGATTCTTGGCATAGCTTTGAAAGCTTTGGAGAGCTTTGGAGAGCTTTGGAGAGCTTTGGAGAGCTTTGGTAAGCCTTGGAAAGCTTTGAGAGCTTTGGAAAGCTTTTGAAAGTCTTTGGAAAGCTTTGGAGAGCTTTGGTAAGCCTTGGAAAGCCTTGGGAGAGCTTTTGAGAGCTTTGGTAAGCCTTGGAAAGCTTTGAAAGCCTTGAAAAGCTTTAAAAACTCAACCCAATGATTTACAGGCTCTCTGTCTTGAATCTCTTCTCAACTCACTCCTGATTTTGTCGCATCTACTTGCAAGCGATTCAACGAAAGAAATGATTCCATTGATCGTCGGATTGGTTAGGGTTGGTCTAAAGAAAAGTAGAAGAACAATTCGTTTTTCTCTAATCTTTCCATGAAACTATCGCAGGTTTAGATAAACAAAAGATAGAGATACCGATCTAAACATAAAAGATCTAAACATTTAGTTCTTATTGAAATCTAATTTTGCTCATTTCTAAGTCAACAATCGATGTTTTCTTTTCTTTATCGATCTACAATCTTTTCTTTATCAATCTTTGCAGGTGTGCTCGTTTTCCTCAGGTGTTTCCCTGCTCGGCCTCTTCGGCTCTCCATCCCTTTCCCTTGCTTCCTCGACAATTCGCTCAATTCTCCTCTCATCACTTTCTCCACTAGCTTTCTTCTATCTAATGTTATTGGCGGCTATTGGTTCGTCACTTCTTTCCAGCTGTCTTCTATTTGTGGTTAGTTTTCGATTTAAAAACATTTGATATAAACAAAACAAGGAAAAGCTGGCTTAAAGCTAGACTTAACAAAAGCTAGCTTAAAGCTAGATCTAACTAAAGCTGGCTTAAAGCTAGACTTAACAGAAGCTGGCTTAAAGATCGGCTTAACAAAAGCTAGCTTAAAGCTAGAACTAACAAAAGCTGGCTTAAAGCTGGCTTAAAGCTAGGCTTAACAAAAGCTAGCTTAAAGCTAGAACTAACAAAAGCTGGCTTAAAGCTGGCTTAAAGCTAGGCTTAACAAAGCTGGCTTAAAGCTAGACTTAACAAAAACTGGCTTAAAGCTAGATCTAACAAAAGCTGGCTTAATGCTAGAACTAATAAAGCTGGCTTAAAGCTAGACTTAACAAAAACTGGCTCTTTCAGGCTCTAACGCCTAAGTGTAAAAAGAATTATAGAAATAATCTAGAAAGAAATGATAATAGAATTAAACTCCTTAACATTTTGACTAATATTTAAAGCTCAATCACTCAGTTTTTGATAGGAAAGCAGTTTAATAAAGTTTTCTTTTATAAAAAGACACTTTTCTAAAAGACAAAAGCAATTGCATTCTTTATAAACATAAAGAATTCAATTGCTAAAGAGTGATTCAATTTTGTTGAAATTCTTAATTGAAAAGTTAAAATCGGTTTTAAAACTTATCAAATTATCAAGAATTATCAAGAATTCACAAATTATTGCTTCAACTTTACTTATTAGGTTGATGCAAAAGTCTTTTTCATTTTTTTTCGTACTTCCGTTAAAAAGTAACAAATGGACCAATTGAAGAACGGTTTATTGCATTCGAAAGGCCAATCATTTTTCTGCAAAATGACATTAAAACGAGTTTAAAATGTCTTATGTCTAGATTTTTTTTTGAGAGCCTGAAGTCGGGTAGTCAAAAAAGGCGACGGCTCGATGATGCATTTTAGACGCTTTAGCTAAGGAAACCAATCTTGATGTTAATAAATAAAAGATAGAGCACAAAAAGTTAGATATCTTTTCAGATTTTCAGAGAAATTGATTCAGCCAATTTCTTTATAGAGATTTTTATAGATTTTTATGAAAAACCCGTTTTTCACTCTCGAATTTGCTTGAAAGTGAACCCAAAATTGACTTAAAAAGATGGGAAATTCAACAATAAAACACTTTTCATTTAGAGTAAACCATAGGTTAATTGATGACTTTTTTATTTTTCAAAAGAAGTACGAATGAAAAATGAAAAAGACTTTTGCATCAACCTAATAATTGATTTTCTTTCAGCTTTCGATCATCGATTCCTCGTCAAAATTCCCTTGAAAATAATGATTTCCCAATTTTATCTAAATAAAGTACTTGTTCTTTGTACATTCTTGTACTTTATGCTTCAAATTTAAACGAAACCCTTTGGCATTTTGGATATTAAAGTGAAAAGGACAAATGAAAAGGACATTAAAGTGAAAGGACAAATGAAAAGGACATTAAAAATCACCGCTATAAAGAGAAATCAAAGTTTTCAGTGTATCATCTGATGGATTCATTTTTGCAGTAGGAAATGTAAAGGAAAACATTTCCTCTGCTTTTCCTTTTCCTTTACTTTCCTATTCAATTTCTATACCTCGAGTTATCAAGTGTTTAAACTTGTTGCCAGTAAATGTTCATTTTCCAATTGTTGCTAGTAAATGTTGACGTTCCAATTGTTGCCAGTAAATGTTCACGTTCCAATTGTTGCCAGTAAATGCTCACGTTCCAATTGTTGCCAGTAAATGTTCACGTTCCAATTGTTGCAGTGGATGTTCACGTTCCAATTGTTGCCAGTAAATGTTCACGTTCCAATTGTTGCAGTGGATGTTCACGTTCCAATTGTTGCCAGTAAATGTTCACGTTCCAATTGTTGCAGTGGATGTTCACGTTCCAATTGTTGCCAGTAAATGTTCACGTTCCAATTGTTGCCAGTAAATGTTGACGTTCCAATTGTTGCCAGTAAATGTTCACGTTCCAATTGTTGCCAGTAAATGTTGACGTTCCAATTGTTGCCAGTAAATGTTCACGTTCCAATTGTTGCCAGTAAATGTTCACGTTCCAATTGTTGCCAGTAAATGTTCACGTTCCAATTGTTGCCAGTAAATGTTCACGTTCCCAATTGTTGCCAGTAATCTTCACGTTCCAATTGTTGCCAGTAAATGTTCACGTTCCGGTAGTTGCCAGTAAATATCCACGTTCCAATTGTTGCCAGTAAATGTTCACGTTCCAATTGTTGCCAGTAAATGTTCACGTTCCAATTGTTGCTAGTAAATGTTCACGAAAAATCTTCTCGTTAAATTTATACAAATTTACATGAAATTCTCAAATAAAAATCACAAAAAGAATGCTTAAAAATGCTTTAAAATGCTTTAAATGCTTTTAAATGCTTTAAAAATGCTTTAAAATGCAAAGATTTCCCGTAGGAATTTCGAGAGATCAATTTAAATTAAAAAAAAAAAAAAATTTTTTTCTATTTTTTTAAGCTCCAGTTATGCAAAAATATCTTTGATTTTATTAAGATTTTTTAAATTTTAAAATAAATTATAAACATTTAGATGAATAGGTGGCTGCCGCGTTGTAGGGATTGAAATTCTTTGTATTGCACGCTGATTGGGCCCGGTTGTTGTGGGGAAAGCGCCGTAGGAGGCGCCGAAAAGTCCCGAAGATGTCTGTAATCGGGGAAGATAAAAAAAAAGATATAAAAAAGAGATTCGGTTGTATCGAATTGTTTTTGTTTTTTTTCTTAGAAGTTACTGTTATTTTGATTGTTTACAGGTTTCGGCAGCTTTAGACTAAACAGTAATCTCTCGTTGTCTTTAAGAGTTACAGATGGCTAAGCAGTTACAGGTGGCTCTAGACTGAACAGTTAGCTCGTTGTCTTTAACAGTTACAAGTAGCTAAAGCAGTTACAAGTAGCTCTAGACCCAGACAGTAATCTTGTTCTCTTTAACAGTTACAGGTAACTAAACAGTTACAAGCAGCTCTGAACTACAACACTTGGCTCCTTGTCTTTAACAGTTGCTAGTTGGGTAAACAGTTACAGGCAGCTCCTAGACTAAACAGCTAGCTCATTTAGTCTTTAACAGTTGCAGGTAGCTAAGCAGTCACAGCTAACTAAGCGGTTACAAGTAGCTCTAAGACTAAACAGCAAATCTCTGCTCTTAAATCGACAGCACACTCTCCGAAACTCTATTTATTACTCCTGGAATGGGTAAATGAGAATTCAGTTGCTCGCTAAGAATCCAGAAATGAGACTTTCCAACCACTAAGCAAACGATTGATTATTTTCTCGCTAGTTTGTGATTGTGCTAGATTCGGAATAAAATATCGAAATGATCATTGCCGAATCGGTTCCTCTCTCACCCTGCACAGAATTGTATTTTAGAAATAATGGATTATATTATAATCCTTTACAGATGGTGTTGAATTTAATTGTTGAATTTAACTATTTTAATGAAACTGTTAGACTACATTGATCTTAGGGACTTCTGAGGGGTTACTGTAGGGATATTGTAGGGATTACTGTAAGGATTACTGTAGGGATATTGTAGGGATATTGTAAGGATATTGTAAGGATTACTGTAGGGATATTGTAGGGATTACTGTAAGGATTACTGTAAGGATATTGTAAGGATTACTGTAATGATATTATAATGGTTATTCTAAGGATTACTGCAACGATATAATAGCGATCTGGTTTCTATATAATGATAAGATATTCAGTTATTGAAGTGATACATTGGATTGCATTTTCTCGAGTACTACAGTACTCCGAAGGTCTAAAAGTTGGGGTAACCATAAGTTGGATTGGCGTAAACTCAGCCGGCTACAAATTGTGTATTCGATTGCCTTATTTCTTTATTAGACTAACGAGGAAAGCCTCTTGTTAGGATTAGAATGCTGAAAGCCGAGGCCGAGGCTTGAAAGCCGTTACCTGGAATCCAGTTGGTATAAGCGATCGATAGTTAGCAGCAGCACTCCATTGAGAAGAGATGAAATCCGAGTGAAGTCGTCCAACTGAAGACGCTGTGAGATAATCTGGAGCGCCTGGTTGGGGTTGCATTGCTGCCGCGATCCCTTAAATGTTTCGTTTTCATTTGTAGCCTTTATTTGTAGCCTTTGTAGGCTTCAGAAAGTTGAAGAGTGATGTTTGAAGATTGGGACAAGCCAAGTTAGCCTAGATCAGCGCCAGCTAGGGTCTGGATTAAGCCTAGATTGATCTAGAGATCTAGTCAAGCTTCTAGATCTGCCTGACTTTAGTCTAGCTTCTAGATCTGTCTGGCTAGCTTCTAGATCTACCTGGCTAGCTTCTAGATCTGTCTGGCTAGCTTCTAGATCTACCTGGCTAGCTTCTAGATCTGCTGGCTAGCTTCTAGATCTACCTGGCTAGCTTCTAGATCTGACTAGCTCTAGTCTAGCTCCTAGATTACAAGTCTTGCGACTAGAGCATGGCCTTCTCAAGCTTGCCTCTTCCCAGAATCCCCAAAATACTGAAACCACATTGGCAACAGTAAAACAGTACTGAACTTTGAACACTGCTTACCTTGAAAATCAAACTTGTAGGCGTATCTTTTCCCGTGGACTTTGCACATAATATTCTTATCGTAGTAATATCTCAACGCTCGTGACATCTTATCGTAATTCATGTTCGGTTTCGACTTTCGTTCACCCCATTTCCTGGAAAGATTCCCTTTTAGATTCCCCTTTTAGATCTTTGAAAAGCATATCGAATGCATAAGAATGCAAAGCGACAAACCTTGCCACCTCGTCCGGGTCGACCAACTTGAATTCTCCTGGTAATTGTGTTATTGCTGCCTGAATGAGCCAATCGAGTGCACGTGGGTCCGAGGATTTGATAGGGATCTGGAAAGGGATTTATTGAGTTTAGAGGGGGAATTGATAAGTTTATTAAGCTTCTTCAGCTTCTTCAGCTTCTTCAGCTTC